ACGAATGAAGAACACCCTTAATTATTTACCAATAAAATTTGACTATAAGCCGTAATAAATCAATTATCTCATTTCATAATCGAGTTAGCCTGAATCGAGTAACTCGGCAGAGTAAGTACTTGGTTTGGTGAAAATAAAAACGAGTAAAACACTATTCGGTTCCACGGTATAACACCTAGTCCTCGGTACATCTCTATTGTAAACGTTATGGTCGGGCAGAGTGGCGACGAGGACGCTCGGTCCTAGGTCGCTTCATGGTCACGCTTCACGCGTCATCGCGCGTTGTATAAGTAGCCGGGCACGGCGCTTCCAATTACACCATCTTCTTTACAACCACTCGATATTCAATCTAGTAAACGAGGCTACACAGGATATAATCGTATGTGCATCGGGCAGATCATATAACCGATCTTGTTACCGGGAGTGTTACGATCGCGGAACAGGACCCGAGACTCGGACCTATCACTTTAGTGTCAGTATAGAGCTTAAATTTAAAAATAACTATTGCATGAGCTGAAATGTTGTGGACATACCAGTTATAGAGTCGCTTGCAAAAACACTTCAGCTAAATTATTTTTAATCGTTGATGTAGTTACGTAATGGCATTTTCAAAAGGCATAGCCGACAACGTTCAGGCATCGGAACAATTTACTTGACATTTACAACACCGTTTACATAAAAGTTTAGATAATAAATTAATTTTTACTGAACTCAAATACATAAAATACGTTAGCTGTACCAGGGAATATATACTCAAGCCACAGAATATATCAATAGTAAACATATATAACGTCAGGCGAGAGGAGCACTGGGCAACGGCCGCTCATAGAATGAGTGATCAAAAATTTATTATACGAGCTCCTCCGCGCACATTGGGCTGTTGGTTCTGGTTGCATCTGCTGTACTTAACACTCACCAACCCGCACTGGGTCCGTGTGGTAGGTCATGTCACATTCTCCTTATTCGATTCGATATGACCTAACTGTGGGAACATGATGATTAACAGATGATTTTATTTAGGTACACATATTGATATAAATTAAAGATATCAAATAGAAAAAAAAAATGTTATCAAAAAGACAATCATTCCACAGAGAGGTAGTTAATTTGTTGACACTATTTATAAATTAATGAAGTGTAAATAACATCGATACGTACCTAAACTTTAATAATAACATTGTTATAATTCCACATGAAGCGTGTCTAGTGTTTTTATTGTGCTATCAGACACAATAACATATATATGAAAACACTAATACCCAACAACTGTTAATACAGAGACAAAGTATAATATATAAGCATAATTAGGTAATTATAAGATTTCGTTCACGAACCTGGAAGTGCGAATGTCACACAAAAGGCGTGCGATAACGAAACTATATATTGTGACCCAGTTATGATAGTGAATAGAGGTGGTATAACAGGGTCGCAGACGTTTCGACGAGGTGAGCGACCCCACTATCACGACCATCATTCCGGTTAGCTTATCAGTAACACGTCACCGGCGCGGGCGCAATTAGAGCGGGAAACTGATTTTTCACAGTGATTTACGTGACACACGGTGACGATGGCGACGTTATACACCCACAAGATTTATACGACATCGTGAAACCTTAATAATAGGTTTGGCTATGTCTTTTTTATGGTATGTTATGGTTTTTTATATCAATTTATGTACCTAAATCAAAATATATCAGCATTAAGTTATCAAAACACTAATGTACTGTAATTATGAGCAGAAAATATGCATATTTTAAATCAGCGTAATCCCAAGTCAGTTCTCATTTATATTTCTATTTATATGTTTAGTTTGTCTTATAAACATTAGGTTGTATTTTACATATAAAACAAGATCGTACCATATATATACATATCGGTACCTAATTTATATAATACTAGCTAGGCCCGCGACTTCGTCCGTGTCACAAGTAGCCTAAGTTAATTCTTATTACATAGGCTATCTGCCAGTGAAAGACCCATCAAAATCGGTCCAGCCGTTTCAGAGATTAACCGGAATAAACAGACAAAAAATGAAGAAAATGTTATTTTGGTATATGTACCACGCATACATACATATGCGTTAAGTAAAAAGCTGTTATTGTAAATATTACAATTTTATTTATTTATTTGTAGGTATTAGCATTTTACCATATATGGCAGTATATATCAAAACACATACTTCTACGTAAATCGTGAAGCGCCGTCAGAACGAGTGTACTCACAAATGTAATTTATCAATATAATCTAAAGAGGCAGATACTCTCATTGATATTATTAATTAGAACATTTTTGTAGTACATTAAATTAATACGATTGCTAAGTCCAGACCGCGCATTCGCATTTCCCGATTAAAAATTCTCATTTTACAAAAACACAACATTAGGATTGTAATTAGGATTGCCAGACGTGCGAATAAAGCCGGACATAGGCTTTTTGATTAAAATAAACTGTGCCCGGCTTGTTGAATTCACTTATTCGAAATTTCGAGTCACTAGAGAAATAAATTACTTAAACTGAGTTTGCATTTAATTTTATTTATATTTCATTACAATTTAAGAACATTTATAGTAAATAATCATATATCTAAGCATACATAGGGACAGACGACGGAAAGCGAATTTGTTTTATACTATATATTGATTGCTTATATTAATTAAGCCACAAAATCTTCAACAATGTAGAGTGCCCAGCATTTTTACCTAAATGTCCTGCCAAATAGGCAGGTCTGTCCGGCTATTAGGTTTAAGGCTCTGCTAACCCTATCTGGTTTTGCTGGGTCAGCTTAGTTTGTTTGCCAATATTTAAGCCGGCCGATTCACGAATGTGAAAAGAAAAATCTAGATAAAAACCCAAAGATAGATCAATATCATCTAAAAGATATCTATATTCAAACGATTTCAACGCGTAAGTGATTGAGAAAAACCATACCTACATACGAAATTTGTTAAGGTAGGATCATATACTATCTCACCGCGACATATTATCTCAAATAGATCAATCTTAATAACGCCATCAATAAGATAATGTTTTAAACCTATGTGGGTACTATACATTTAATTTTTCGCATCGTTTAATCTTGTATTCTCATTTCTATCATACAGTACAAAAAGTTCTGATGACGAAAATATAGGTTATATTTCGGAAATCAATCAGAATTAAAGTAATAGAGGTAAGTTAAATCTATACTAATAATATAAAATGGAAAGATTTGATTGTTTTAATGTTTGTATTGATAAGGTTCCGAAACTACTAGACCAGTTTTAAAAATTCTATTACCCACACCTTACGCCGGTGACATATGCTATAAATTATGCGGGAAAGCAAACAGTTATTAATAAACCATACAAGATATAACTTGAGTTTTGGTTTATTTAGGACTCCGTGTAAACTTTCCATTTCACCGGCAAACAGTTTGAGAGCCGCTTACTTAGATGAATCAGTACTTTATCGTTATATTTAAAAAAGATCATCAAGATCAAACTATAATTGGCTGATCATACGCTAATCATTTGTTTAAAAAATGATTTGTGATTATTATTGAAATAAATCTAAAAGTTTCTGTATTATTATGTAATGAATTTGATAGGGCAATATTATCTTTAAAGGCCAAAAATATAGTAGCGTGATTAACGAATATAGTGAGACGATACTGTCTCGATATAAAAATGATTTATCAACATTGGAAAATCACCAATGTCTGAAATAAGTTGAGATCGCAGGCTTATATAGCTTAACTTTAATCATAATACATTCTAGTGATGATCTTTAAAGATATTTATTAAATATCATTACACTTATCACACAATCATGATTAATTGTTTCATTTAAAAAGATACTCAATACAAGTAACGTTTCTTCAAAACTAAGCGATCGAACAATAAAAAAGTTTCTCATGTGACCTGTTTTGCAAATCGCAAATGGCTTACGTAAAACTATCCTAACCTACGACAAGCTAAAACGATGCGTTAATTATTCTCTTTTTTCACATGATGTTTTGGGAGTTATTTCTAGAATACAGGTAAAGTGTTAAAAATAGCCTTGGACAAATCGACCGGCGGACCTCCAAATTACACATAACAGTGGCGTAGCTGAGTGGGACAAAAACGCGCGGGGCCTCGAAGTGCCGCGCTTCCTCGTACAGACATTAGACAAGAGTGCAAAGACCGACAAATTATAACGGAAACTGATCGAATAAGAATAATCCATAAACCAATGATGGACAAGACAACAAAAAGTGTAATGCACAAGTGTCTAGTGTCTGCACGCCCATGAAAGGTTAAACAAATCTAAAAATAATACAGTCACGGTTTTAATCAAATATCTTTTTACGATTGTATAATTTAATAAAAAAAGTCAAGATGCAACCGTTGGAGTGAAACGTTTACTTCTAATAAAACAGTGACTGTGAAATACGAGAAAATTTAAGCATCATACGATATCAACTTTCATTGTAACTAGAAAAGTAATTGCTTAAAATTTTCAAGTATTTCTTTCTCATTTAAAGTTATTTTTTATGTATTGTGATTTAATATTCATTCTTATATGACCTTCAATGTAGATAAATTAATATGAAATCACATCCCGTGCATATCAATTTGATGCTGGCGCCTTCATAACAACCACATGACCATAAAATTGTTCATAATATTTTTACAAGGAATGTTTAAAATGACGTCAGAAAAAACAATTGAAAATACCTAGAAAGATAAGAGAGCTATAAGCGCGTTTTATGACAATATTTAGCTGAATTATAATGTACCAATGAGGTTATTATGAGTACGCGAAAGCTAAAACGAACTGTGTCTGCAAAAAGGATCGTCGTTTAGAGACCAAACTGTTTTAAATACTAACTCAATTGGCGAGTCGAGTATACGTATTTTATCCGCTCCAAATTTATTAAAATTAAAAAAGGTTAAAACTAAATTGAAAATCAATTCGGACAAAAACGACTTGGACCTTTTTGTAGAACGACAATGAAACAAAACGTTAATGCATCTTACCGTCACATGTTGCAGCCATGAATTTGCCGTTCGACGAGAAGTCCATAAGAAGGACAGTCCCCGGATGCCCTTTTAAGTTCTTCACGAGCCACTGATGGCTGTAGTCCGTCTTGCCTTTCCATTGAGCACGCTTTTTGCTTTTAGCGCTCGTCCTAGTTTCGGTTACAGGGGTCTCTGCAACTGCTTCTTCAACAGGAGTTTCTACGAAGACAATAATAATAATATACATGTAATCATTGGTTTATATTTCATCATTCCTAATCAATTACCAAGACAATCAAGAGACATACGTTTTTGTATTTACATTGATTCCATGATAGTAGTCATTACCACTAATATTCTGAGAGTACAAAAAAGAGTATTACTCATAATTGATTTAACACAAAATATAATTAGTATAATTATAGAATCTAACAAAATTCTTTAACATTATTAGAGTTCCATTGGACGACAGAAACATACATTTGTTTGGTAAGTTCACGATCTACAGAATATTTTCTAAACGCAGTTGTCTGAATATTGAATCCTCGGGGAGAGCAATCAAAGACATCACAAAGAGAACTCCAAAATTGAACTCTTTGTTTAAAACATTAATAATATGTAACCAAATATAATTTTCTCGATAATCATCATTTTCTGTACGATAAGTCAAACGTTTTATTCTGATACAATTTTCTATTGATTTTAATCTCCTGTAACTTCTTTTGAAGCCAACAAATATATGCTAGGGATTTCCTATTTGGCGTAGTTCCCCAATCGAATGTATAAATAATTTTTACATTGAAGATCGTATGATCAATTGAACGCTGATAAGCAATAATGTTTCAACCCACACAGACAACATTTCCAGAAAATAGCATCTAAGGATATATTCATGTTTTATGATAAAAATATATTTTTCCATACTTATTTCTTTGTGGCTTAAAGCTCTTTTGTTTAATGTTTGTAAGGTATTATCAGAATATATCGAAATCTCCGAAAGCAACTTTTGTGGGTTAACGCAATATTGCATATGCATCATCCAATTATGAGTTTCGTGGAGTAATAAAAATAAATAAGATATTTCAGCCAGTTGCACAGACGTCCATTAAAATTGTCATTAGTTTACAGCGACATCACACATACAAATTTGACATTCATTAGAGATAAAGGCGTCATTATACCTTAATGAATGTTTGTGCAACTGGCCGATTGTATTGCAAGTTCAAGCTATACTTAGACGCATAGGTACAACTCTTGCCTATCCCACCAGCATCTCTTAACTGAAGACTAAACTGATCTGTCAAAATTAAGTCTAGAATGATCTGTTAGAACAGATCACTCAGGGCTTCCTTTTGATAGATCAATCCGGACTTCAGCTAAGCGGTAGAACCGCCAATCATAGTGAAAAAAAATTCCCATTTCAATTACCGCGAATACTGCAGAACAATGAAGTTTGCTTGCAGTGCAGCGAGTATTTTAGAAAGTTCACATGTAGTGTTTACATGAATTACGTAATCCACCTTCACACCGAATTATCACAAAGATTTTTGTTCTCACGCAAATAGCACGTCTGATGTTTTTAAAGATTTTTACCAACCATATTTAAGACAGGAAACTAATGAAAAGCAAATCATGATTACGTTACAATGAACTAGTATTACAGCAGCGGCTGATCGCGTTATGTAAAATTATGAATGCATATTATTATGATTTGACCAAAAAGGAATACTATTCGTGTTGCATGCCCTATCTTTGCTTTACGCTTACGTTGCGTACTATATCATGTGTGTGTTTGAACACGTGTTTGTCCACATTTTTTTTTGTTACCCCTCACGCTTTGAGTTTCATTCAACAATTTAAAATACCTCCTTTAATTACCCGTATATTTTATAAATTTAAAATTAATCACGTTCCGTTTTCACGCGTCAAAGCGTCTATTCTACGAATGAATAATATAAGTGACGCATTTTTTATCTGTTACAGTTTGTTTCATTCAACAATTTAAAATTAAATCATATTTTTTTAATTTAAAATTCATCACGTTCAATTAGACCGGTAAATACACAAAGTGATACCGGTAAATACTCAAAGTGATAAGTACATTTTAATTCAATAATTGAATATTTGTATGCTAATGTACCTGATGGTGATTAGGTGTTACTAGGTTTTTGCAACTATTTGTCATCTTTTATATTCTACCCTGTCCAAACACAAATAAACGTTTCTTACTGTTTTCTATATTGCATGCCTATGTATAAAGTTGCGTTATTATTATTTTTTAGTAATTATGAAAACATTTATAATGTTATCAGAGACTACTATTACATCAGTGAAATATTAGACGAAATTAAAAGTAAATCTTTGTGGTAATTTCCAGAGACTTTTTTCCCGGAAAAATATGCAATAAAGTCGACCAAACTCCATTCTTTCCCGTACATCACTCGTCGACTTTGACGTATTTACCGGATTTAGGCAGAATCCAAAGGTACCAAAGTTCCGTTTATCGCCGTTAAAAAACAACTCTAAATACTTATTCAGCCTAATGATTTAAAGATTACTCATGGTTATTCCATTTATTACTACAGATGATATTATAAAGATGTTCGTAACGCTAAAAGAATTTGGAAACTATGAAACAGGTACTTGAGGAAAACATGCACTACAAGGATAAAATATAAACATCCAATATATTGTTACACAACTTGTTTTCCCACTAAAACAAGTGATCTATTTATGTCTGAACCTATACGCTGCTGGTACGTGAACATTGCGAGAAAGTGAGACAGGAAAATGTAGATGTGATTGTTTGTTTGTTTGCAACGAATAGGCTCCGAAACTACTGAAACCATTTTAATAATTTTTAAAATCGTTTCAGTAACCTATGGGAAACTACATCATATATATTTTTTCCCCGAAAAACAGCAAATGGGAGTGGAAATTTTTATAGGAAATAAAAACGTTACCGGTCACCATTGTTTATTATATTTATCGTATCATGATATGAATCGACATCCAAATAAACAGTTCCCTAGGGACAACGCGGACGAAACACTGGCGGAAAGGTAGTATTTAATATTTTTAGTGTTACATAATATATAAAAATCTCAATATTACTAAAACGCAAGAAATAAAAACTTTAAAAAAATAGAACCGACTTTCAAACTTTAAAAATAATAAATAATACTTAATAAGTCGCTTTTGAGTAAGTATTAATTATCATCTTTTTAAGGTTTCAAGCCGGTTCAATATTTTTTATTCTAAGTTTTTTATACTACGTATAGATTATTTATTGACTTATAGATAATCTTTGATTGGTAAACGCTGAAATAGAAAACGTGCGAACCACGCTTTCTTTCGGATAACGGATATCACTGTCATAGAAAATATAAACAGTCCTGTGAATACGGAATAGACAAAATTTTCAAAAAGGAAGTATTATTACTGTTAAGTACAACCATTATTAACTTGCCGAGTCGGTTGCTGTGAGTTAAATTTTGCAAGCTGAATTTGACCTACTTCCCCGGTTTTCATTGAACTCAATTTTTTCATCATTTAACTTGAATGACAATGCAATATATGGAATGGAGCCGATCTGATGATGGAACTTGAAGGTAGCCATGGGACTTGTATAATTAAACGAAACAATCCATCAAGTTTGAGCTTATTTAATTTGTCTAGACAATTACTTTGGTCTGACATAATATCCAGGGTCTGGTAGTGACAATGAGAACTTTGTAATTAAATGTCAAAACCCTGTCGAGTGTAAGTGCGTTTGATTAGTTACAAGATCTCTGGATCAACAAAAAGTTTTTTTTTTTATTAATATTTTATAACCATTAATTTATAATTATGACATGTAAGATGAGTATCAATGTCACTTTCATGTTAATTATTATTACAGAAGCAAAAAAAAACTTGTTTTAAAAATATTTAATTAAATCGAATAAAAAAATACAGAGTTGACTAAAATAAACATGAAAGATATAATTTATTTGCTTTTATGAAATTTAATTAAAATTTTATTGAAAATAACAAAAGTTGAGGCGAAGAATAATAAGCTGTTGCCAACAGAATTCAGGGGCCTCCGTTGCAAATCATAAGCTTGGTCACGAAAGTAACAGTATTATGTTTCGAGTCGAGTATGAAAGGACTCACAGTCTCACGGGTGAAAGCTGAACGATGACGCGACGCATAATATAACGCTAAGTTTAATAATAGACGCTAAACCAAAGTTTCTGCGTTCGTTGAATAAGGAAACGAATTAAGGCATATTGTATGAATAAATATTCATTTATAATATTAATGTTTGTTTTTAAATGCAGAACAGAACTTTCTGCGTTGCTAATTCGTATCGCACGCGTTTACAGATATACGCACAAGCTCCGCTACGATGTCATATTTGTTTAAATATAAGTTTAAGGTTTTGGTTATTATAGTATACTAATTTTTCTTTTTAAAATAATTGCAATATTTTACATTTTATATGGTAAAACTAAATAATGTCAGATACTTTTTTGTGAAACGGAAAACTAGATTTTTTTTAAAGAAACGTTATCGGTATCTTGCTTCTGAATAAATTGTATTTAGTATAATTCCTCTCTTCTCTTGTTAAACTGAATTTTATTTGTTACCGAACCGATATTTATTTGATTGTTTTTTTTTCAATGATTTAGTTAACTTAAGGCTACTTTCGAAGTTTTTTGGTTTATTATAATTATTTTTTTTTTTTATATATAATCGATGATATTTCAAAATTTCGAGGCCGCTACGAAATATACGATTATATAAAAGATTACATTCTATTCTTTTTACTTTCATTTGTTTCAACCAGTAGCTCAAAAAAGTTCCATCGCGCATTGTATGAAAATCTTTTTCTGCAAATTTGGGTTTAATTATAAAGTTAAGGACATTTTACAAAAAGCAAAGTCAAAAAATAAAATATTACAAATTAATAAAATATTGCATAAAATATTTTAAAAATTGTTAAAATATTTTATGCATAAATTACAGTTGAAACGAAATAGGACCCTTAAAAAATGGCAAAAGAGGAACTGTATTGGAATATGTACATATTTTGATGGTAACATATAATTCATACTGGAGATAAGTTATGTCTGACAGTCATTCTTTAATTTATATTACTGCGTATGTTTTTCACCTATCAACAATTATCTGCTCTTATCTGAGACTAGATAACATCAATGCTTAGTTGGCATGTGGCAGTCTACACGAAATAAAATGTCGTGCTAAGATAATAGCTTTATTGGTTAGTACACTGCACTTGACGTGCAATAAATTCTAGAATCTCAATGAAAAGTAAATATTTTAGACCAGTTCTTAACCGGCGGTCTGCGGATCACTGGTGGTCCCTCATCCCAAGTGGTCCGTGGAGCAAAGCTTTTATTACAGCGTCGAAATGCCTGAAGCAAATCGCTATTATAAAATGAAACATCTAGTTAAACCAATTAATACTCAACGCGTCGTGAGCGTTTCCATAAGAGCCATAACACGAATTTCGCTATGATTATTCTGCGGTAGACAACGCGTCGTGAGCTATTTCGCTCAATGAGCGATTTCGATGTTTGAACGTAACATAAAAATAGAACAACTCTTTATATATATTTATTTAGCATTTAGATACTGAATAATAAACCAAATTGAAGGTCCATGGTCAGATAAGAAATTTGTCAAATGATTCCTTATTACTGAAAGGTTAAAAATTGTATTAGACCTTATAAATATTGGTTGAGAGTATAATACATAATTGCTTGAAAACACAGCATTAACTCATCGAAATATATATGTTTAAAATGGTCCACATAGCCTTCTTCATCTGGGCATACACATTATTGATTACTGATGAAATGCTAAAATAGGGTAGACAAAAAAAATGCTATAATATAGAAAGTGTTCATTCTGAATAAAACAGCTATATTAGCTATAGTTAAATTAATTGATAAATTACTGACTTATGATATCAGAAGATTTAGAGTTCAGTACAAAATGTATCTATCTATATAGATAAATATGTTTAGTACTAAATTCTGATACTTATTCCTACCTACATAAGTTGACAACTACTGGGCCTCCATTGTTACTGATTACTAGATGAAATTACAAATAATAAAAAAATCTTTACCAATACTTAGTTTTATTCAATTTTTTCATTCGATTTGATTCGATTCCTCCATTGTTTTCTTTTTTCAATGTTTAAGTAACATTTTTGATCATCTGTTTTGAATAAAAACAAAGATAATATTTGCAATACTTATCCTTGAAGGTACATAATATAAATAGATATTTATTTTACCTACTTTTATTCTTAAATCCCCAATAAGTTTCTGAAAATTAAACTCGGTGCACAACTAGTGATTTATTGGAAGTCATGACCTGATCGCCTTTTGGTATGACATTTATTTTACTATGAATCACCAATTTTTGCAATCTATTCTTGTTTTGGTGTCAGACATTCCAGGTTATTATTACATATAATATTTAAACAGCTGCATGTGTAAAAGATAAATTGAAACGTTAAGCTTTTTATTTAAACATCATCTTTACAAATAAATAAATATTTAGATCATTTGAATGAAACAAAAACAAAATATTTTTGTTGTTATTTTAGGCTCATTACTATTTGATATACATCAGTATGTCTAATAGAAATAAGGCTAATAATTATGAAATTGATTGCTTTTATATAATCATACCAATATTATTTACTAGGTGTGTTGAGCTCCAAATCTACACATTACCTACCTATAAAAAAACTGCCTCACGAAAACCTATGATAAGTAAAAGATAGGTACATACATAAATCATTTGTTTTTATATATATTAAGTTATTTTAGTTAGCTATTAAGTTGGCTATCTATTAGAAAGTAAACAATTAGAAAATACAAAAAAAAATCATCTGTAATTTCATTTTTAGACATCGGCATTATAAAATTAATATTCTATAAAAGCAATGTATAAATGTAACTACCTGAAATTTTGTAAAAAAAAAAATTATGTAAATATTTACCTATTACATATACATAAAAACATATTAAGTAAAATTACAAATATCTTTTTATCAAAAAGGATTTCAGTTGCATTAATGGTCAGTGTAAATGTAAAAGAATCCATTCACTATGCAAGTATGGAAAAATCAAAAGATCAACGCACTTCTAGGAAGGAACACATGGTTAATGGCTTGTGGGAATGCGGTTCGCGGCAAAATGCTTGCCCACGTGCCAAGACCGCTAGATATTGTTGGAAAATGTAATGATTTTCAAATTTCATTTTCTATAATGCATAAATGCCGAATTATAAGAGTACTCAGATTAATTTACCTTTTACGCTCTCCGTTTGGTGTACTTGTGCTTCCTTTTTCTTATTTCCGAAGATGGTCTTGAATAAATAGTGCAGTATTGTGCATGATAATATAGCTATTACAGCTAAAACAAACACGTTCGTGTTCAAACCGGCTTCAATATCGCCCATTTTCACTCAAAAAAAAATCCAAAAGTCGTTTCCAAGTTACACAAACCAATACAGGCAGCTGTAATCACGAGCTCTCACAACATACAATAACTGACTGAACAGAAGAGTTGATTGAATGAAGCAAAATACCGCGCGAACTAGCAATTTACAACATAAAAATTAAAATAAATTACACAAATGTCATTCATAATGCAACGCAATAACAACTATTTAGATAGCAAATGTTGTGCGCTTCCGTCGAGTGACGTATGACGACTCGCGGGCTTGGCGCGGTCATTCGTTTGTTTTACCTACCAAAATAATTGCAGCATCATATAAATAAGGCGCTTTAATTTTACTAAAAATAAAATGAAAATTTATATACAATTTTGTTTATAATCAAAATAATCGATCAAATACATAATAAATTATTCATATTACTTAAATATAGAATGCAACACAAAGAATTTAAAATGAAATAGTTAAAAAAGCACATTTTCTCAGAATAATCATTCTGATTGAATTTATTTCCTAGCAGACTTATAAATTACGAAATACGGTATTATTCAACTTGCAAAATATATTAGCTTAGCTATAGAATGTGGTTGGTACAAAATATGATTTGCAATGAAAAAGAACAAAATCGGTAAGTATGTACAGTCATAACATTTTTTTAAATCAACGATACATCGAAATACTCGCAGTTTTTAATACGACATAACGCATCGATCCTATGTCTTAAGAGATTTACACATACATGATATATATTCCTAAGAAATTATATATTTCATTGTTTTTAAATACTTATTCTAGCTTCGCAGATTACTCATGGAGTTCTGTCTAATGTCAAGAGGTAAAATAAATGTAAACCCTCTCTAACATACCTATTTTGTTTCCAAAACGAACGTCGCAATGACTTTTAATTTAAAGAGATACTGAAATAAAATAAAAAAATAATATGAAATCCAAACAAAATAAGGCAACAGCAGCGACAGAGAAAAAAGAGTATCAAAATGGAGTTCAGTGGTGATCACTTTGATTTGTCGATTTGTAATTTCAATATCGGTGATCACCACCGAACTCCATTTTGATACTTAACCTTGTTTGATACGAAACTATTATTTCGTATTCCGTAAGCATTAGTGCCTGTGAAAGTGAATTTCAAGGTATGATTTCATTTAAATTAAAATATATATAGCAGCTGTCTAGGGATTAGTGATTAACTGAAAGTTGAGTTACAGATGACCACTTATCCCTAGAATTCAGTGAACAATTTATTTCCATTGTTCTCAAAATTTACCAGAGTTACAGAATAAGGAGACTGGTTACAGTCAAAACAACTTAACACGAAATATTTCGACCTTGTGTATCTTTATTAGTTCGTGAAGAAACGCCTGCCCAAACTTTCATGGAACAAACACATCCAACACTTGCTGGAAATTTAAAGGGTATTGCAGTTTCACAATAATATTTTTTAAGGAAATATCGCTATTCTAACTGATTGATTAAAAAAATATCGATATAGAAGACGCAAAAACATCGATATATTTTTGAGTGATCACCCCTTTTCGTGATAATACAAAGGGATTTTAATCCATACAGCCCAATCTTACGAATTTTAATCTTCTGTTTTCACTATTAAAGTATGATTGTTTTAAATGCCTATTTAAAATTTTCACAAAAATTATATAACCACAGGTGTCATCCATTCCTGCCATAAACTATGTAGTAGTGGTAACCTGAGATGCTTTTGTGCTTTATGCGAATAGTATAAGTGGAAGAATCGAGAACTACCAGACCATCATGAGTCATTTCGTTATTTTAATGAGGAAGCATAAAAAAATATATACTAGATCCCGAAATCAAACTAGATGTCGCTACGGTACGTTCTTGATTTCTCCATGACAGCCCTTCCGATTTTCTTTCATGTTTAAAAGTAAATTCGTCGTTAAAAGTAAATTAAAAGTAAGTCGAGGTCATAGCACCACTACCGCTTTATTAAAAGTAACTGAGGATTTACGTGATGGCATGGGGATGTCACGGCTAACAGTTTTAGTTCTAATCGATTTCTCTAACGCTTTCAATGCTGTTAACCTTGATATTCTCATTGCGTTGCTTTCATACTTGCGAATCTCATCTCCTGAACTAGACTGGTTCTCTTCCTATCTTCGGGGTCGTCGGCAGGCGATTCAGGTAAAGCATACACTGTCAGATTGGTGCGTTTTGTCTGCTGGTGTTCCACAAGGCGGTATTCTTTCTCCCCTTCTCTTCTCAATCTTCATCAATATGATTTCACCTGTTCTCGGTAACTCTCATCATCTGTATGCGGATGACCTGCAGATTTATGGTCAAGCAGAAATAAATGATTTGGACAATGTGATAGACTCAATTAATAAGGATTTACATAAGATTTTAGACTGGTCCGATACCTTTGGGATTCGTGTCAATCCTAACAAGTGCCAGGCCATCATCGTGGGCAGTTCTAGACATTTAGCAAAGTTGAACATGAGTTCGGTAGCGCCAGTCATCTTCAACAACAATTGCATAAAATTTTCTTCTCATGTTGTAGATTTAGGCATTTGTATTGACAGCTCACTAAGCTGGCATACGCAGATAGAGTCTATTAGCCGAAAAGTCATTGGCACCCTTAGGTCTTTCTACCAGTTTAAAAATTTCCTTCCTATATCCTCTAAAATCCTTTTAATCCAATCAATCATTTTTCCCATCATAGATTATGCTGATGTGTGTTATGCTGATATCACACAGGAACTTCTCAACAAATTGGATCGATTACTCAATAATTGCATACGTTTTATTTTCTGTCTTCGTAAGTACGATCACGTCTCTTCTTTTAGGAAAAAGTTAAACTGGTTAACTATTCGGCAGCGTCGAGATCTGAGGATGCTATGTACCCTTTATTCCATCATTAAAGATCCTTGTGCGCCTGGATATTTGAAATGTAGGTTTCAGTATCTAGGTGCTTCACACAGCCGAAACCTTCGCTCAGACAGCAAAGACACTCTCGCCACCCCTTTTCACCGTACAGGGTTCATTTCAAACTCATTTTCACTTCAGGCTATACGACTTTGGAACGCACTCCCTCCCCATATTCAAGCTGCTCCAAATAAATTATGTTTCAAAAGATTGTTACGCGATAAGTTTTTGAATTCTCCTACCGTTTTTAATTAATCTGACTAATTTTATGTATGTATGTATTATATATTTATTTATGTTATGTTATATATAAATAAATTAGTGTTCAAAACTCAGTAAACAACACATATTCTATTTGTACTTTTTCGTATTTGTAGTGATATCTAAGTTTCGAACTTTTGCTAGAGTCGCCATCTAGTGAAGGTGTTTTTTAGTGCTTTCGTTTTTTTTTTATACTTCCTCATTATTCGAAAATCGCTAGTAACATCTAGTTTGATTTCAAGAACTCATTTTTATTTTTCATATACTTCCTCATTTGAAAAGTAACAAATTAAATTATTTTTATAATGTATATTTGTAATTCCTATTTTGCAACTGGGAGCAACTGCATGCTAAATCACCTAATCGTATTTTCTATCAATGATTCGCAACTTTGAAACGTTAATATCAGTGATCTCCATTGAACTCCACTTTGACACTTGATCTTGTATCCATAAATGAAATCTATGGCTCATTCAGTGTTTTGCGTAATTCTTTTTATATTAAAGGTATGTGGGTATAACGTTGTATTATAGAGATGTCGATACATTTTGTAGGATCAAGTATTGTTTCATCAAGATCTATTTATGTTTATCATAAATAATAAATCTATGTGTAACAGTCAGCTAGTTCTCTATGGTAGGATATAATTACAAATGACAAGGCTGTATGGGCTAAGCACCCGTTGCCTTCCCCTTCCCCTGTAGGAATGGGAAAATTGAACCAAAAAAAAAATCTCTATGGTAGGTAAACTGTCATCTTTGAATAGCGTTTTCATAACGAATTAGTCAACCAAAATCTATCCGTGTATTTCTGAAACATTTATTGTACTTTAATATCTGCACCTCTTGAAATATGCCCGGTCGCAACAAAAGGTACCTATAATAATAATAATGACAATAGTAATAAATTCTTAATATCCCATTGCTTACTTAAGACTGTATTTCTAGTCGGCTAATGCATGAGCTTTTATATAATTTATAAAAAATAAGTTTTTTTTTCCATTATATCTATTATGTTCATACTTGTGTTGAATCGTAATGGTGTGGTCTGAGGCTAGGGGCGGTTGTGCACTACACTGAATTTCCAGGGTCAGGCAGTCCGATTTTTTCCGGTCCTGACATGAATGACATGAAAACCCGGATGAGTAGCTTGTGCACTTGTCCGTTTTTTCGTGATCGGAGCGGCGCAGTTTAGGGCAGCTCTCTTTGAAGCTACACGTCACTTACGCTAGGTATGATGAGATATTTGAAACGTCGGTAATTGCTTGCTTTGTTACTCTACATGCGAAGACGTAGAAGACAGAACAAATATTGGGTTCATCCCCTTATAAGTGAAAGGTACCTAAATAATGACCTGACAGTATCATTTTACATAAAACATAATAAATTGAGGCAAGACGAAAGCATTTTTTTACTATTGTCGGGTGACTACTATCAGATGTAAAAATTATTAATCTAGAAACAGCATTATTCATACACAATAGCTAAATATATCTGTGTCATTAGAATTAAACTACTTATGATGTTCTAGTACTTGATGTTTAAATTTATAAACGTGCTATTTTTTTTGAAGTTTTGTTAAAACAACTTCAAGCGATTACATTCTATATATTAATTTCAATTAAGATGGGCTCAGTTGTTTAGGCGTCTAAGCGTAACAACACTTATTTGTCTTACCTTAAGTTATCGATACTTTTAATAAGATTCTAGAATCTAGCAAAGTATAGATACTAGAACCATACGATAATCAAATTAAACTATATCGAGTTTGCCAGAGCATATGCAGTGATATTTACCAGCTATATTAAATCATCATATAAAATATCACATTTTATGATCTACAATAAATATCGATTATCAGTATATCGAAAGTTAACAATATCGCCGAAATAAATATCAATTTTTCATAAATCGATTATTTTTTCCCACGCCCACTCCGCAGGCTCATGAATTTTCCGAATCGAGGACAGAGCAGTGCACAAGCGTAAACACATTTTTCATTGCCGTTATCACGGACCTGAAACAACCGGTCCAGAATAGAGAAAAGTAAAATTCCGGACAGTAAAATTTCTGACAGTGCACAGGCGCCCATTACCTTCATATGGCCTGACATATCGGACAGGAAAAAATCGGAACGCCGGACTTGAAAATTCAGTGTAGTGCACAAGCGCCTTAAGAAATTTACTCTTTATATTTTGCAAATGATTCGACCCTTAACAAATTTACTCTTTATATTTTGCAAATGATTCGACCCTTAACAAATTTACTCTTTATATTTTGCAAATGATTCGTTGCGTTCTGCAACGACGACGGTCCTTCCGTCACATATGCAACGATCCTAATTTTACACGTAATTATACAACTGACAGCTTAGATTAAAGACTTGTAACGAATAGTATATTCGGCGATATTCCTGGCTTAATAGCTGAATAGTAGGCATATAAGTATTCCGCCGATATATGGCGCCAAAACTTGTATCAACGTGATTGTTTCGCGCTCATTTGTTGTAATGTACTCATTACCCTCTCAACCAGGGCCGCCCGTGTACTGCGTGTTTTGACAAGTTTAGCTCGTGCATATCGTAAATACGTTAAATACAGTTTATAGTTCACTCTTCCTTTTCATTTGTATGTTAGTGAAATATTTCACAAATAAACAATAAAATAATTACCTACCTACTTTTATAACAATAATAATAAATAAAAATAATAATCGATTATGGCCTTTACAAATAAATGGCCCATATGGACATACTTCGAGTCTACTTTACTGATGAAAGTGATCCGAAAAGTGTCGTGATCGATAGTCTAAAGATGAGTTGTGAAGAAAAGAGTAAAGAGTCCCCTACTTTGGCTAAGAAGATAAAAACTGAAGAGCAAAGTCTAAGCCAGACTATTCACTCAACTTTTATGGATTGCTTGGAAGAAATATTAGTAGAAAAAACACACCTGCTAGAGACACATCAATAGAAAAAAATGCGGTTACGCTAGAAATAAATATTTTTTAAGTACTAATAACATATACGTGGTGGCGAGCAAGAAAATATAAATAGTATTATATGATAAATCAATAATTTCTTTTATTTTACGAATTATCTCATTACAACAAAATATAATGATTAGGTAATTAAGTATTCGGTATTCGGCTGAATATACCAAAAGCAGCCGAATATTCCGAATACCGAATATTCGTTGCAAGTCTATTAGATTATATATTGTCCAGATACCGTGTCAGTACCAAAATTGAATGCCAATAAGTCTTGTCAGTAGAATCTCATTGGCGTTCACTGCGCACGTTTGTCAAGATTTTTGCTATAAAAATGACTAAATGAGTATAATTTAAGCCTAATTTCAGTACCCCAACGTACCGACACAAGAAAGATAATAATTTTTTCATTTCTTTTCATTAATAAGGGAGTAATTTGCTGGCGTATGTCTTTCCAAATCATATAAAATTGAAAAACTGTAGTAATATATCTACGAGTATTAATATTGCCATGGGCAATTAAATAAGGGTGGATAAGTTACTTGCGTTAAAATGTGTCATCTTGAAATTATGCTAATAAGTAAACTTCAGCGCAGTCAGGCGAAAGCGTTGATTATGTGCGTTTATATACCATAACCTGTGCTATGCGTAACTGTAGAAACTACACAAGTAAGTCATCTAACGATCAATGGGTCATATTTCAATCGTAAGTATACGTTTTGAAATGATTTGCATTTTAATCAGAAAAATAAATATTGTGATATTAAATATATACTTGTGTTACTCGATATGTTGTCACGTTTCTTACGATAACTTTATATATATATATCATATCCTTTAAGTCTTTGAAAAGTTATGGTGGAATTTAACACTAAACACAATACAGATCTTTTTTGTTTGGGTAGTCCTGGAGTCGACCAATACTATTCGCGAAGTTTACTCTGAATTAATGATGATAAAAAAAAATATTTCCAAATGTAAAACATTTTAGTTACTAGTAATAGCCTGATATAAATACCAACTTTCAGTATGGAGATCAACATTAAAACATAACAGCTGTTTTTTTTTATCATGAGGGTATCTTATATTTGCTTTTTAATATATGAATTAATTCATCGACATTTTCTTTTGGATTATTAGTAAAAAAAATAGAATTCCTTTAATTTATCAATGGCATGATAAACAAAATACATATAAACATATTCTACTAAATATCATTATACTCAGAAATACTTTAAATAAAAGTTTTATTTTTTTTATTACAAAAATAAGTAAAAAACAAAGTTTAATGAAAATCACTATTTCCTGTTAAAATTTTATTCAATAATTTTCATTGTCGCCATAGTAAATAAAACCAAAATTTGTGAAAAAAGTCGTGTTAGTAATTTTGCGTGAAGGAAATTGAGGTTTTTTGACTTGATGTTTATTTTATACCTTCCGTAGCTAAAATGAGATGGATTCTTAAATATAGTCTCTTGTAATTGGCTTACAAACTTGATTAAAAATATTCCAGGCTTATATTGAATTACTTCGGTTTTTCTCGTATTTGTATCAGGCTAACCGGTGTTAGTATATTGGCAAATGGCAACCCTAGCCACAATATCGAACGACACAAAAATGTGTTTCCGTCTTTAAATAGAAAACCTTTTTCTATTTATACTGTCGTTGATTTGGCCAGTGATAACACCATAGACAATATTTGAAGGTGACAATGAGAGGGTTACACGATAAAAAGTGGCTGTCACTGTCAGTTTCCTCAGTGCAGTGAAGTGAAAAGAAATTTATTGTACAGAAGTCGACGGAATATTGTAGGTTGTAATTAAAGTACTTGTAAAAAAATGCCTCGTCGCGGACGTTCAGCAAGTCCTCCACCGGCTCCACAGCGAAGGTAACAAAGCTAAAATTATTTTTATGACGTATTTAATTTAAAGCGAACGTTCATGTATAACCTCGCAAATTTTAGAGCTGCGCCCCCGCCAAGCAATGTGCCCGCTCGTGCTCCTCCAGCAACACCAGCACCAGCACCAATGACCGCTCAACCACAGCAGCCGTCACTGTTTGGTCAAATGGCTGCTACCGCTGGAGGAGTGGCTGTTGGTTCTGCAGTGGTGCGTAATTATTTAATTACGTAATAAACGTAGTGACTTGCTATATTTCGTGTTGATCTGTTAGAATGTATTTTTTTCATTTTCAATAAAGAAATTAATGTTGATGTAACAATGTGAAATCTTGTTGCAAATTCTGTGATGGTGCTAAGCCAATTTGACGGAAGTCATGTCATGTGCTCTATGTAGTATTTTCTTTACAAGTAAACATATATGCGTTATCAGGCTTATTAGATTTTTTAAAACTATGTCTTCATGTCACATGACCACACATAGTGTTACTTGGTAGCCTTTATTTTTTGCAGAATCAAAGTTACATTACCAAACATTCATTATATTTGATATAAATATTTGTCTGTATATGATAACCTCAAAAGCTAAACAAATTTATATGTGGCTTATATTAAAGAACACAGTTGAACACATGAGAAAGTATTTAGATTCAAAAGATGTGAATTTTGAATATTAATTACTTGATGAAAATGGTTACAGTTAGACATTGAGCTGGGAAAGCTAATTAGCTAAAATGTAAATGAATGATCTTCAAAATATAATCTAAATCTCATAAAGATATGAACATAAATGAATGACATAAAAGACATATGGAATGTTTTTACTTGTATGAGATTGGTAGGTTTTACATTTACTAAGCTTCTTTATGAATTTTAGGGTCACATGGCTGGCAGTGCTTTGACAGGAATGTTCAGCGGAGGTAGCAGCGAGCCAGTGCCACAACAGCAACCGCAAGCTCAAGCACCAGCTCCTGTGTACAATCAAAACCAACAACCACAAGGTCCATGTGCTTGGGAGATAAAGCAATTCATTGAATGTGCCCAACAGCAGCATGACCTATCTCTTTGCGAAGGTTTCAATGAGGCACTGCGTCAATGCAAACTGAATAACCACCTCTAATTCAAAATTAAAGAAGCTGCAAAAGGATTCCATAGGCTTATGTTGTACTGGAAAACATTTGAGAAGATAGTCTAGAACATTCTGGATTACCTCATTGTAAAAACTTGCCATTTCAAATTCAAAATTGAGTAGCTTCCCAATAGTTATTTAGTTCCAACAAACGTAATTTTCAATTTTTTGTAGATAAATTTTAGTGCTTTTTATTTGTTTTATTTTAAGACAAGCATTATTATGTAGTTGTTAAAAATTGATTTACGTAATTTATAGTGACATAGAATTATACATATTATATTTAAGACAATAAAAATAATCCAAACCATTTGGTCTTTTATTTTTTATCATAATAATCACCTTACCTAGATATCATAACTCTTTTCTTTTTAACATTTATTGTGATAGTAAATAGTTACCAAATTTGGTCGCAGGCTCTAAATGCAGATTCATTAAATCCAGCCAAGTTTTCAGAAACACAATGTGCAATTGCAATAGTTCGGATTTCAAACGGTATGGCCCTAAATAAGAGTAGTAACTGTGTGCATATTTCAAATTATTTTTTTATAATTCTTATAGTATTACTATGGGTCGAATTAAATTATACAATTTTGCAGTGTGTGGTAAAAATGTAATTTAACAGTTTTCCTTAATGATTATTATTAAATGCAGTACTGGCAGTCGCTCCCGTAATAATTATCGGTCTGAGCAACGTGCGCCTGCGCATTCGCCGCAGATTGTCGTAACGCCGATGCCCCGCCGTTCTGTATTCCGGGACGCAGCGGCTGTTGCAGGCGGAGTTACAGTCGGCACAACCATGGTATTTTGTTTTTTTTTTTCAACGTCTTGAAAGATTCTAATAAGAACTGTGTTAATAGCCTAGCAGTTGTCGATTTTTAGCTGTCATAGACCTTCAAAATAGGTCTTTAGGAAATCGATTTCGACTCCAAGGACACTTTGGGAACCCTTGCCTTTGTTTAGACTAAATTGTGCAGATAGTTACATGCCTAAACTTTCTATGAAATTTTCTACGCTTCTAATTAAAACAATTGATACAGAGTAGGTGCCTAAGAAGGAAAACATTTTGCAAACGCGAAATCTTAATAAACAAATATAACATGTTTCAGTAACCGAATTCCTCTGCGTCAAAAAAGCATTTCTTACCTATGGCACACCAAAGTGGTTCACTTAGGTGTTCCACGGTCAACTTGTACCCCTGGTTCACCTAGGTGTTCTGCTATTGAAAATAATGTACCCGAAGTTCACCTATCTAATGAAATGCAAGGCATCCTAAATAATTCTAAAACTAAATATAAAAATTGATAAAATAAAAGATTTTCAGGGCAAAACAAGAAAGAAATCTGTTTTGGTAATGTAACAATTTAATAAGAGACAGAAAACAGACTTTACTCCAGGGGTGATATTCTACTTTTAATCGAAAGATTGAAATTGAAAGATTAATTTAATTGTTAAATGCTTGGTTCGCATAAAAATATCGCCTAATTAACCTAATTAGTTATTTTATGTATATATATATGCCAGTACATAAGAAGAGGACGAAAGGATGGTAGGTAAATTTAAAGTACAGCCAGATAATGGTCTCGATTCCCATCATCTTCATACACTCGAAGAAAGTTTCAAACGGCATTTTTGGCTGTGTAGAAATAATTCAATAGATTTTAATATTTAGAGGTGCACTAGAGAACGAAGTGAACTAGATCAACGAAGAGTATTGTAGGTTTACATCTAGTAATAATTTACACCTAAAAAAGAGGTAAAAAAAGTTAACGGGTCAGAAACGCAAAAAAGGTATCGATTTTATTTAATATTTTAATATATCAATGACCTAATATAAACTCTAATAATAGGTCATATATTTTCTTTTTTTCTGAATTAATGGCACTTCTAAGCACGCCGACTGACGATGTCACTGACCTGCTTCGTAAATGTTTACTTCGCGTCTCGTTTTGTAAGGCAATGACTTGTTAATGAAAATTATAAAACCAGTAATAATGGAATGTAAGAAAAACATACCCATAAATTAAGAAACCATAATGACAGATTTTTTTTTTTTACTAAATTATGATTATCTCGTAATTATCAGAGCCTAAGGAGGTGGAAGAAACGAATTTTCTTTACAGCGTGTATATTAATGATAGGTGATATTGTACACGGCTGTACATTTGTTTACCACAATTTGTCAAATTCTGCAATGCATTTTGACATCTATCGTCAATATATAATGGTTTAATATCATCATCATCATCAGCCCTTTTACGTCCCCACTGCAGGGGTTCAGACCTCCTTTATGGATGGTTAAGGAGTATGCGCCATGACTCTTCACGCTGGCCCAATGCGGATTGGAAGGTATTAACGACTGCAAATGCAGCCGGGACCAATGGCTGTACGTGCCTTTCAAAGCACGAAGTAGCTCGAGATAATATTTTTTTGGTCACCCATCCCGTGACCGACCCTTGCAAAAGTTGCTTAACGACAACGATCGCGGGCCGCGGCGCTTATCCCCTACGCCACCGTTTAATGAGATTCGGAGGTTTAATATCGAGTGGGGAAAATTGTCTGTTTTATGTCTGTCGTGTTAACCTGACGTGCCGTTGACTGTAAGCCTTGCAAATAGGGATGAAAACAAATTTTTGTTTGTCCTTCAGGTAGATTATTGAAAAAATAAGTATTTAATATTATACTTATTTTTTATTTTTATACGTAATCAATAAATTAGGGCGATACATCAGAGTTGAAATGTCGCATGACGTCACGCTTTATATATTTACTACAAAACTGTGACAGCGAGACTTTAATGCCAATTATTGAAGGCATTTCCTGTTTAAATTGAAGCCAAAAAAATACGTATCTTACATTTTTCTATCATTTGAATAACGGACTAAATAGACCTTTTTTTTAACCCAGACGTCATCCCTATTAATGAAAGTGACAGATTTCTGACGATTCGGCACGTAGAGCGCGATGGTTTATTTACAAGAATTCTTTATAAAATTACTTTTTTCGATGACGTGCGATTCTATTCTGATGGACGTGCGATCTTTCGTAGACTACTGTATTCGATCATCATCAATATAAGATTATTAATGACTCGACTGACTGCTGGGTGCATGCTATTTTCCCTAGGATCTAAGGTGCACATTGCGGTTTAGCTGGTATTAAACGTTTGCAGATATCATCGGGGCCTTCCGAAACCAAGGGCTGATTACGAGGGTCATGACCCCCGCCCTGGGTTGGGTCGTCACGAGGGTCATGACCTAGGTGGACTACTAATTAAAGTTGTTATAAGTACATAATGCTTTTTTTAAGCAGTATTGATTTTATTTAAGTACTTTCAAAAAAATAATTTAACATTAGACTGTATCTATTATTATCAAAATTAACTCCAAATTAACTTCCTATGACTCGACCACGATTATGTGACACCCCCTCCCGTGCCAATGCTAGATCAGCCCTTGTTCGAAGTATGAAAAGAAATCGAGCCATCAAACGCCTCTTATATTCAGTAAGCATATCATTCGTTCGCAACGGTTTTTCATCTTCTTTCAGGGTCATTTAGCAGGAGAGGCTATAACAAGCATGTTTAGCGGTCGTAGAAGAGAGGAGGTGCAGCAGGTACTGCCACAAAACTACCAACTAGGACAGGAGCCCAGCGGTCCCTGCGCGTACGAGATAGCTCAATTCTTGCAATGTGCTGCCAATAGAGAGAACCTGCAGGAATGCGACGGCTTTAACGAAGCACTTAGGGATTGCAAACGACGCAATAGTAAGGATTTACCTTTCGTTATTGGATATAGTTTAGTTGACGAAACTGAGCGCTTAGTGTAAGTTTTTTTGACGTTTACGTTCACTGTCGATCGTGAGCGCGTTAAGATTTTAGTATGGAATCCGGTACAGCGCCCCTAGCGGTAACTTCCAAGAACTACAAATCTCCATACAAATTCTTAACGCGCTCACTAGTGAACGCGTTAGCGTAAACCTTACACTTACCACTCTGGATATAATAGGTAGAAAATCATGTGCCAGCACTTCGTGGAGTGGATTAGTTAAGTATACTGAACGACTTAATAGGTGATAGCATAGATCGATTCACGACAGTCCCTCTAGCATAACTCTTAATCCTTTGAAATAAAAGCGAAAACATTGTGATCCGAGGAATTTCTTTTGTGAAACGAACTCTTGGTATAGAACAGCTGATTATTTTTTCTCGAATTCAGTGTTGCTCCCATAGTAAAGTTGTTCAGTATACTTAATCTATCCATCTCACGAGTTCTTGGGACATAATAATCTTTCACCTTATATAGACCTTCGCAGCCGATTGAATCTCACGCTGGGCTCAAAGTGTCGCCATCTCAGAGGTTCGATTCCCTGTCAATGCAGGAAATAATATTTTCTAGGTTGTCTCAGGTTTTAGTGTGAGTTGTGGTACCTACGTTGTTCCAGATACTCCATCATACAAGTGCTTGTATGTGATGTTGTCTAATATCTAGTACCTACATTATCTAGTATTTTATTAAAGTACTCCCTTAAAAATTTGTAAAGCTCATTCTTTTTTAACTGTAAATATATACCCTCCCTTGACACGTGCGCCCAAGGCAAGTACCCCCACTTGCCCCCCCTCCCTTAGATCTGGGCCGGAACTTGTTAATCTATAGTGTAATCGTTCAAGATGAAATTTAACTAATTTTACATTATTAATTAAGTATACTTTCCCCATTGTATTTCTAGTTTTCAAATATTTTTTTTGTTTCAGGAATACCATAAACAAGTCCCTCCACTCATCACACCACATTATTGTAAACAATAAAGATGGCTATATATATAAAGTGTCAATCATTGTCTTTAGAACATTGTCGTCCTTTAGTATAGTATGTCCCCTTAATTGCCTATCTATAGTCGAGTGAAGTAATTATTTGAAAACATGCATAAGTAAAGCAGATATATTTTTGACAATAAACAAGACTTAGCAATTGGCATTGACGGAATAGTGTAAACGCAAATAGGTCATGAATTAAAAAAGAAATTAAAAAGATTTGCTTATGACATTTTCTCAAGTAATTAGTTCTCTCAACTATAAATACGAATGTTAAGAGTTTGAAATGAATTCTTCGACGCTACATAGAGTCGTTTGTCTTGGAAACTACTGCCGTGACAATTTTGTATTCCACAGAGTAGATGTTTCTACTAATTTACATGAAAAATAGTGTTATCACGATTTTTGCTTGAGCTAAAACTTTTTTGAGGATGTTTCTCATGCTTATAAACAGTGGTCGGAATTAGGTAGAGTTATTCATGTACTTACACTGATTTCATACAGCGAAAGACTAAAGTGGATATGCCTCAAATCCCGAGATTAATTTTAAAAAGCAGAAAAAATTCCGTGATTTTTTAAATAAAAAGTTATTTACTTTTACACAATTTAAACTACTGCACGCACGACGTTGCCAAACTTACATCAATGACATCGGATGTTCAAAGTTGCAAAATACCAATACGCGCGATGTTGCCACGAAGGCCCACAATCAACATTTCGATGCAAGTACATAAATAACTCTACCTAATTCCGACCTCTGCTTATGAACATGAAGGCAAACTACCCTGCATTTTTAGGGTTCCGTACCAAATGGGTAAAGCGTGAACCCTAATGCTATGAATTCGCTGTCTGTCCGTCTATCACCAGGCTGTATCTCATGAACCGTGAATGTTACAGTTAAAATTTTTAGAGATGACGTATTTCTTTTGCGAAATATCCATCCATCCTTCGTCAGTGCGAGTCCGACCCACACTAGGACGGTTTTTTTTCAATATATTAGCTGACAGGCTTGAAACGATGATATTTAGCAACATTCACACCCAGTCAGTACCTGTATTATATTATTTGTTTCAAGGGGTATAAAAATAATAAAACAAGATATACAGGTGTATACATATAAACTTAAATTTATTTACACCTTAGTACATAGAAGTTGTGACATTCTGTAGTGCAAAATACGTATATGAAATCAGTTTTAATACAACATTCATGAAAGCAAAATAGGTTTAAAATCAGATGGGATACATATTTTATTCGTGAATAATTTATTCTTGGAATTACATATAAAAGATTTGTTATAGAACAATCTGTGACTATTGAAAAAAAAAATTACTACAATTGCAATTAATCTCTCTGTACAATATAAACAATAATTCTGATAATATACAATTTGGCACATTGAAAACTGATTGTTAACGGAAGCATTCGATTTAGATTACTATTAGTTTGATTCGATAATTCTTTGGATTTGTGCAAACGTACATTTTACGCATACTGACCGGTAACAACTAATATTAAAAAAAAAACAGTTTAATTGTGGACACATAGTATTAAAACATCATAAACTTTGTGACTAAACAGACAACCATGTACAATTATGTAACTTTAAAAAAATATATGGTAATGTAAATTCATAAGATAGCTTACTGTTAATGGTGCGACGTTTGAGGTCGATAAAGAGATCCATAAATAGTTACCAATCAACAATTGAAAGTCATCTCAAGCGTCGCAGCAATAAGTCGCAAATTACTATGCACCGGCATTTTGACCCGTTTTATTCAATTGTGAAATTCGTTCGTGTCGTATTAATTTATTCGTTCTAGATACTAAAAAAATTCAACTAATCATACATTTTAACGCTTAAGCTAAATCAGTCTAAAATTCTTAAAGCGACATTACTTTATGTCTAACAGTAAAGCTTAAACGTATTTATATAAACAACCACTCATACATACACTGGAAATTTCAATGTAAAATATAAGGCCACTAGTTTTCATATTAACATTATAGCGAAATAAGGATACTTTAAATTACATTATTATCGAATAATATTTATTAAGTTTAATTACAAGTTTACAAATAGCAATCATCTGAATTTAATATGGTCGATTTGTTAGTTGATGTTGTAAAAACAGATAAGGCGTCTTGTATATTGTATTTATATAATTATAACGGAAATTTTTAAAGATTCGTAACATTTGTATATAAAAGATCACAAAAATAATGCACCAGCGCTTATACAATATAAACCAATGTAAACAGTGGGCGAAATGCAAAAGCCAAGCCCGAAACATCGAAAAATAATTTAAAGCTCATCACAATTAAATACACTCAGTGTAAATTTCACGTTCCAAATTAAACTTTATTATCATTTGCGAACGTACATCTATCGCAACATCATAAGGCATATTAAAATTAACAGATTTACATTATTTAGCACGATATTGACCTAATATACCTACCCTATAATAGCCCTTTGAGAAAATTTACAAAGTCTTAGGACGCACCGTTATTTACATGACGCAATGAAATATGACACAGTAATAAGCGGATCTAGAGTTTGGATCCGCCAACAACACTAGCGTAAAGGATTACGCGCGTACGTTTATTGAATTGTGACGTCACAGGTCACAAGCGCATCTCCCATAAAATGAGATGAGCGTCTTTCGGATTTGGATCCGCAGCTGGCACTGGCCTTTCTGCAGCGTCAGCGGTCTGTCTCCAATCTACATATCCTCGTCCACCGACTATCGTCACAACAGACCGTCGAGCTGCGCTTTCATTTAATATATAATCGGCGCCCCGTAAACTCCTAGCTGCATTCTTTGGAGCGGATTTCGTCTCCTGATTCGCAGAGTCGCTTCGTGATATTGACCTGTCGGAAGCTGTCGACTTGCCAGATGAGGAGTCTGGGGTGGAAACGGCTATTGGAGCGAGACTCGCCGCTCCAGAAGCACCCGAACTAGTTCTGGATACGCCTCTTAAAGCCATAGACTCCTCGCTGCCGGATGACGTGCAAAGACTCGAAGCTCTAGAATCGACGGACCAACTGGACAAGTCAAGACTTCTCGGCCGTCCGGCTCGCATACGTAGTCGGCGATCGAGCGTGCTCACCCTAAACGGGATCGCCGCCAGTTCTGGATCGCTCCGTCGCAAAGATTCCCCCCCTGATCCGCTCACGTCCGCTTCACCGCAATCTTTCACGAACATTAAATCGCCGAACAGTCCGTATACATCGCAAGCGTTTAGATTCGCGCACTTGGGCAAAGTTTTGCTGAGCCGTACATCTCCGGGTTTCTTTCGTCGTACTACTGCCGATTGTACTCTTTGAGGGCGGTACGGGCTGGTCTCTTCGGATATCCGCCTTTCTAGTTTCGGCTTCTCTCCGTCCTCTTTCGATTCGTCTTCTTTGAATTCGTGAAGAGTGGACGTGTCGGCGAGAGCTCGAGCATTAGACAAGTTCCGTCTCACAACGTTTACATCGATATCTCTCGATTCCGGGGTTAAAGATAATAGGAATGTAACAGGGCCGGCGTGCGCGTGATACGAAACACCGATGTGACCACCGACTAAAGGCAATCCTTCTAGCTTCGGTAAAGGCACGGTCACACTGACTCCAGCGGTGGTGCCCACCCATAATAAACCTTGGCAAGCTAATAAAGCGGACACAAATGCCGGCTTGCTTCCTTCCCTTGCTCCTATAGTCTTCGCCACGTCAGCTGCTATATCGATATTCTGCAAATGCTCGAAAGTTTCCGCGTGATACAAACTCACATAAGTAGAATCTGAGAAGGCAGTCCAAAGACCGACGCCGGAATGAGCGAGATACCTAACCGAGCGATCGTTGTCACCTTTGAGTTCAAGTATACGTATTATCTCTGCTGTTAATGCGTTGATTGCAAAAACGCGTCGAGCGCAAGTCGCGTATATGATACCGTCGACTGGTAACACGCAATGTACCGGTTTGTCTCCCAGTTCTATCGCTAGAGGTTCGTTTAGAGCCCACGAGTCATCGTGGTTTCTTCTGAACACGGAAACTCTACCGTTGCTGAGACCTACGAAAATGGAATCGCAGTGGTACCTTATTTGCGTAACGGCGGCGGTTGTTTGTACTTCGGTCAGTTTCTCTTGTTTTTCTGGCTCGACGCCAGAGAATATGATTATCTTCTTGTCTTCAGTGCCGAGCCACACTGTGTCGCCGCACAGTGTGGTCACTTGTCGTAGACCTTTGGCGTATTCCATTGACGTCACCTGTCATAAAAAACAACAAATAAAATAAATAAACAGATATTTGACAATATCAGATTCAAAGACGAGTAGTTAAGGTCAGGCCCGGATCCTAGGGGAGAAAGGGACATGCCTCGGTGGCTAGTGACAAAGCCGAAATATACTTTATATAATACATACTTACAGTTAAACAAAGAACGAGCTCAATCTTATTATTCACATTATGGGTTACTGTATGAGACGGTCATGCTTCAAAATCCCTAATTGAAATAAAAGAAAAAAATCATAAATGGTTGAATAATGAAAGAAAGAATAACGTAAACTAAACATTTTCCTAGAAGATATTTCCGGATAAATGTTCATGTTGGTAGCGATATTATTATTACATCATTTCAAAATTTTTAAATTATGGTGTTTTTAAGTAAAGCTTCTACTATTAGTTTATACGTTTCCCTTCCTACCAAATACCAAAGTTCCGGAAAAAATCAATCAATTCCGAAGGGATGTCCATATTAATGTATACGTCTTAGATCATCTACTCTAATTACTGTTTTTAACCTGAGAGGTATTGATATATCTTACCTTGGTAGCGGGAAGGTCCAATGTCACAAGAGTCTTCAGTTTGGCCGCTCGATGTGCTAATACAGCCACATGGCTATCATTACCACCACCCGCGCATACCCATAGCAGCGAACGAGCTCGACGGGTCGATCCACCCCTAGGACTACCGCTTGACGTATAGAAACAGCCACACCGAACCTAGACGAGCAAATCAATTTTAACGTTATATTTTAAGAATATAAATATTAAAAATAAAAATTAAAACATAATAAAAGCGTTTATTTGCAACACAGTGAATAATGAGATCACTTATATTAACAAAGGGCTAAGGGCTGTACAATCAATAAATATATTATATTTATAGTATAATCTTTTTCACATTGCATGGCTATGGTGACATTTGTTAACAAATTTCACGCATTTAATTACAAAGCATCATTATAAAAAATAGTTTGACTGTGAATATTAGATATAATAATTGAGATCCAACTTAAAAGTCTAAAAGATCAATACTTGCAACGAAAATTGGAACTTTTTTTTTTATTAGGGATTGAATTAATAAAATCGTTACAATCGAAATTTGTATTCGGTATTCATTTGAATATTTTTTATTATTGTTGTCACAACAGTTTAACTGAACTATAATAATTTAATATTTTTCCGATAAGCAGTTCATTTTGTTGATGAATCAATATTATTCTTAAATACTGTTTTATACATTGACCTAAAAATCGATTATCCCTATTAGAAATGAACTCAATGAAACAAGAATGCCATCTTATCGGTCGATTACGAAATAAGACATAAATGACCTAAGAATAGCGCCATCTATGAATTCGATTTATAATTAATAGGCATTTCTTTATGACTAATCTAACAGCTGTCGCCACAGTCAGACAATGGCGTTTTGTATTTCAAGTCGCGTGGCACACAGAAAAAAATCACGACTAGTAATTTTAAGATAATCGTGCGATTTTACGAATCATAATCAGAATCTCTGTTTTTTACGATGTAAATTTTAGTTCTTGTGCAATGAGGAAGTATATAAAAAAAAATTAGTTCCCGAAATCAAACTAGATGTCGCTACGGTACGTTCTTGATTTCTCCATGACAACCTTAACGATTTTCTTTCAAGTTTAAAAGTAAATTAGTTTTCAAAACTCAATAAACAACTTATATTGTATTTGTACTTTTTCGTATTTGTATTGATATCTAAGTTACGAACTTTTCAAATTTCAGTATTTTTAATATGTTAGTTAAAAGGAACGGAAATGACTGTCTTTGGTCCATTCGTTTCCTGCAATAATCAACTTTTGATAGAGTCGCCATCTAGTGGAGGTGCTTTATAGTGCTTTCTTTTTTTTATATTAGCTCGTGAATGATTGTTCACTACTACTCTATTATTCAAAGCATCATTCGTTCTAAAAACGATTGCGACATTAAATCACACATAAATCGCGGTAGATAAAGCCCATCTGCACTGAGGCTTACCTCGGTGAGTTGAGCGGACGAGTATACGGGCGCAGCGGTGACGAACAACGGCATCTTGTGGGCGGGCGAGTTTTGGGCCGCCGGCATCCTCCACGCGGGCGTGTTGGCCGACGCCTGGGCCAGCTGGGCCAATCTCAGTTCCGTGGCCCACGCTAGGCGGGCGCCCGGCTCGCTGGCACGGAACGTGACCGGCTCCTCGCGACCACGGATGGTCAGTTGGAGGCAGCAGGAGTCCACCCACGCCATTTCGTCGTCCTTTTTCTGATATATAAATTATAAATGAATATTTTCGACATCATTATACATTGCTTTAATATTTATTGCTTAGATTTTAATGTAACTAGTTAAAGAATTTGTATTATCATCATCTGCCCTTTATTTCGTCCCCACTGCAGGGGCTCAGGCCTTCCTTATGGTTGGTTAAGGAGCATGGGTCGTGGCCCTCCACGCTGGCCCAATGCGGATTGGCGGGTATTAACGACTACAAATGCAGCCGGGACCAATGGCTTAACGTGCCTTCTGAAGCACGGAGTAGCTCGAGATAATAATTTTTTGGTCAGCCATCCCGAGACCGACCCTTGCGAAAGTTGCTTAACGACAAAGATCTCGTGCCGCGGCGCATATCCACTATGTATTATGGAGTGTCTGAAATAACGATGGTGCTACAATACTCAGCTTCAAAACCCTCACATATGTGACGCCTCGCAAGCTTAAATCTATGATATAGTTTAACTTAGTCAACTCTGAATTCTGTAGATTGTATTAATAAAAAAAAAGGTTCAACTCGTAACCAATCGATGGAAAATCTCAGTTCAGTACCGCAATAAGGTTCAAGCGTAGCTTCATAGACGTACAATCGATGATTACGAAATGTGTTTTCAAAAAAACAGTAGTGAACTCAATCTATCATCACATACATCACAACAACACATACAACAAAGATTGTGAAGTCATTTGATTACATATAAATTTCGTATATACAGGGTTATTAGTAAAACACACTGCCCAATAGCGCAGTGGTTAGCGCGTAAATGTTGGCTATCTAGTATCGAGCAATCATTTGGTGTTTCACACATAGCCCTGTATAATCCGACGTTCGTATATCCACGTTACCTGTATACTCCGCTGTATGTTCTGTAACAGAGCACGGAACATATCCGGAGCTAGTTCCGGATAAGGGGTCCGTAACGAAGCGGCCAGATCCGCCATCCTCGACACCGCTTCGTAGTCGTGCATCAGAGCTGACATCTCGTTGCACAGAGAATCGCCGCTAGTCGTCGTACTGTGACCGTTAGTACTGGAGTTAGAACGGAGACTGCCGCTGCGGTTCATGCCTGATAATTAAATTAATTGATTTATAACGATTATGTAATATGTGAAAATAATTGAGACTGATATATTCATGTCATAAATGTAATTGAGTAAGTAAACTCGGTTAAGCTGAAAATAATTGTATGCTCATGTCATAAATGTAATCGAGTAGGTAAATTCGGTTAAGCTTGGGAGAAGGCCTAAATATCGGTATACAATTTTAATTTATGGCAGGTAGGTTATTAACAGTGTTGTGTGTGTGTGTGTGTGTGTGTGTGTGTGTGTGTGTGTGTGTGTGTGTGTGTGTGTGTGTGCGTGCGTGCGTGCGCGTGCGTGTGTGTGCGCGCGCGTGTGTTTTTAGTGTTAGAGAAAATTTGACAAGTCATGGTAATGATTTCCTTTAAGCACGAATAAGGTCGTGTGCAGTAAGCTATTTTAAGAAAATGCAAAAGTGTACAAAGATAAGATCACTTGTGGACATGGTTCACTGATAAATATTAATGGATATATATCGATTGATATGAGTGTTGATATTAATATTTTTTATTGATAATTTAAATATTGTGTCTCAGCTAGAAAATTAACCAACCCGATGTGAAGCTGGTACATTAGCCTGTAACAACATTAAGTAATCTTACTTACTAGAAATTTCAGATTTTCCCCGTAATATGAACGTGACGTGCGAACGGTTTTTGTTTTTTATCTTTTCTTGTAATTCAGTTATAATGTTTAATATAGTAAGTAGGTAATAAGTCGGGTTATCCCTATACCTTACTGGGAATCATCTAGGACTATTTTGCAATTATTTTATAATAAATAAACAAACATTAAATAAAGCCAGTAGAAGCTAAAAATCACAGTTTTTCATATAAATTTTATATATATAAAAATGAATCCCTATTTTCCTTGGTCACGCCATCACACGTGAACGGCTGAACCGCTTTTGCTAATTATTTTTTCGTTGTATTTGTTACTGTCAGGAGTCTTATTAAAGAAAAAAAATCTAACCTTGGTATGGTATAAATATGAAATGTTGTTGCGAACACCGATTGTATACCTTGTGCGAGCACACGACTGAGCGTGGGCGATGTGCCCGTGTCCAAAACGTCCACGTCTTGTACAGGATGCGCCCACTTTAGGCCGAGACGTTCGGCGTCATCGCCGCCGGCGCCCACTGACACGCAAACGACCAGGTCGTTCAACAGCAGCAGACGGCGCGGCTTGCATTTTGATATGCCACCACCCTGGTTGAATTCCTGTTGCCAAATAAATAAAAAAGTTATTCGGTGTGAAACTATCCAGTGTGAGCCTCTTCGAATACCATGGTTTAGTAACTGTGATTTAAGCAGACAGGATATTGTAGTCACGCGTAGACTTAGATGTGGTAATCCGACTAACAGTTTTATTCATTTGTGTTTAAATATAAAAACAGTGCACTTAGTACAAGTTATTTGGTGTGAAACTATACAGTGTGAGCCTCTTCGAATACCATGGTTCAGTAACTGTGATTTAAGCAGACAGGATATTGTTGTTACGCATAAGACTTAGATCTGGACATTATCTGACTGACAGTTTTATTTATTTGTGTTTGAATATAAAAACAGTGCACTTAGTATTATTTAAGCATAACTAGTAGGAGATTCTACGGGAGTAATATGAATTTGGACTAATACTAAAATTCCAATTTAAGCATAAATTTACTCTGACGCTAAACCTTGTTTATTAATAGCACGGTAGAATTCCAAAATTAGCAAATACTATTTAACAAACATTAAAACAAATAAATTAAATTAAAAATTAAAAATGCATATTTTTTTATTACTAGTAATACGAATATATCATTGATCTTTATGATCTTTTTAATAGGCTTGTGCCCTACGAGTGAAAATACAGGTTTCTGTATTTTCACTAGTAGTTCTTAGATCGGAATGTATGAACCACTTTAACTTATAAATATTTAACAAAACAAATTTAATGACACTTATTTGGAAAATATTATGATTTGAAAACTAGAAAAAAGTAAGGCAAACCTACTCGTACTACAAAAATTTACTAAAATTTCAATTTCAATTTATTTATTAGCCATTTATAACAATATTGTTATACAAGGTATGTCAGTTCACAATTTATAGTTCAATTAAATCTTAATCTCCGAAATTGTTAACCGCGGACATGCTGTTACTTCTACATTATTTCTCCTATGTAAATGGACTATTTATTTCCAAAATAAAATAATTACAACAAGCCTTTTTTAATCAGATATTTTTTTACTGATTGCCGTGTGATGCTCTGTTAGAAGCCACTCACCAGTTGCAGCAAGTCGTCCTGCCTGAGCAGATGTCTCTTGTCGGCGCGCGACGCGAGCAGTCTCGCCGCACCGAACCGTGCGGCGCCGCCCGCACCGCCCGCGCCCGCAACGCCGCCGCGCGTTAGCCGTCGAAGCGCCGCGCGGAACGCCTATCATAACAAACATATGTGAAGGTGTACATTTGTAGATGGAGTGTATTAGAAACAAAGATGAGAGGGAGTCATTTTAGATATTGGATTAATTCAAAGTATTTTAGCAGAGCCTAAGTCTATCATTGCACAAAAATTACCCATAAAGGGTTTAGCCGGATACGTATGACGAGTCGGCCCCCAAATGGGAATCGATATTGAAACTTATGTGTTAATATCGACTTGATGTTCAAACACGATTTATGTACTTTTCGCGACCGACTTCCGCTTTGACCTTGAGATAGAGAGCAAAATATCCGTATGCTTGACTATTACTGAATGTGATATATCTCTGAAGCTATTTAAGATAAAGAAGTGAAACTAACGCGAGGTGTTAGGTTACATTACAGAGTATATCACATATATTTTTTTATAATTTTTAGAATAAAAAATTACATTAAAAAAATAAAAAATAAAAAAAATCATGTTTTTTTTCTGAGTTCTCTGTGACTTACAATCACGAAATTAATATATGTTATGCTCCTTTGTGTGCTCTATTACCCATAAAAATTGCGTGAAAAAAAAGTTGGTGCAACACAACGAAAAAAAATTATATGTGATTTCTGTCTTATGGTATACCCCTGTATTATAAGGTTTTCACATTACATCATTGTTTTTTTTTCGAAATTTCACATCAGCTTGTTTTAAAACATAAGTAACTAGTCTTAAGAGATGGGATAATAGTTAAAAAAGAAATGAAAAAAAAAACAGCCAGTGTTCAATACTTATTATTATTACTTTTTCGTGTCTATCAAAATACAAGAAACAAAATATTAATCATCGTCACTGTTGTAATTAATTACAATCGGAACACTTTGAGTCGCAAATAACTTAGGACCTCAGCAGGACGTACGATTTTGAACAAATATCATCCATATGATAGATAATAAATAATAGCTGCTACAAGAGAACAGCATCCCACTGTACGTTCGCCATTGGTGCAATCACAGCAATAACGAAGAATACTATTGTAGTCATTACCTTCGGAAATATAGTGAATGTAAATTCGATAGACTTTTCTATTTATATGTCTTGATTTTACTTCTGCTTTGATGATATTAGGTGCTGATTTCACATATTGTACTGAGAGATTATTTTGATCGTCCATTATTTCGGCCAAGTTAAATGCTGCACATTTAGAAGTAGAAGCTTTTTTGTTAATATATGGGATAAGTCGACACTTCTTACAAAAAATATCATTAACTATTACGATTTTATTCAAACAGTCACTAAACACTTTAGCTTCTTCTTCATTCTTTATAATTTTTTAATAACCAGGAATCTTACACAGGTACTTGTTACAATTTTTACACTTTGTCGACATTATTACTTAATAATGATTTGGTTCGATAGTTAATAATTTCAAAATGCTGATACAAAAAACCTATGACAGAATTTGAGTCCCAAACTGCCTTCTTGTGTAATACAAATGACTGCTACTTTAGCTAAACAAACGATGCAGTAAACAGCTCGATAACAAGTTCGAACTTGTTTGTTTATACACTCACACTACAAGGCGCGAATCACATATAATTTTTTTTTGTTGTGTTGCACCAACTTTTTTTTCACGCAATTTTTATGGGTGATAGAGCAAACAAAGGAGCATAACATATATTAATTTCGTGATTGTAAGTCACAGAGAACTCAGAAAAAAAAACATGTTTTTTTTTATTTTTATTTTTTTAATGTAATTTTTTATTCTAAAAATTATAAAAAAATATATGTGATATACTCTGTAATGTAACCTAACACCTCGCGTTAGTTTCACTTCTTTATCTTAATTAGCTTCAGAGATATATCACATTCAGTAATAGTCAAGCATACGGATATTTTGCTCTCTATCTCAAGGTCAAAGCGGAAGTCGGTCGCGAAAAGTACATAAATCGTGTTTGAACATCAAGTCGATATTAAAACATAAGTTTCAATATCGATTCCCATTTGGGGGCCGACTCGTCATACATATCCGGCTAAACCCTTTAAGATAAACTGTAGTAAATGCTGTTAAAAATTCATTAGTGAAATATTGTTATAAAATTAATTTAGATTTAAGTATGGTATGATGGGGTTGGCATGTTCTAAAGAATAAAAACCCCTTAAAAATTAAAAGAATTAAAATAAAAAACAAAGATATCATATTTTTATTATATTCTATCGATTTTGCCTATACCGAGATGAGAAATGCTTAAAAAATCCACTTTGTTCTTGGCACTCTGGTACTCGAACCTATGACCTTTTGTAATACGGGCGGCTGCTCTAATAGGATTGATGAATTTCTCAAGCACTTGTTACTTTTTCGCTACTACAGAGTGTATTTTCATCAATGTTCTAGCAATCCGCCCAAATCTTTAAACTTTCGATAAAGATGAAATTTGTTATAATTTATTATATTTGATTAATTTTGCATTCACAATGCTATACTTAATGAAAAAACAAACCTATTCACCCGGTTTCTGAATTGAGAATTTGAAGTTAAGCAAATCTCAAACCGTACTTAAGCCATTTTAAACGTGACTTATACATGTTTTCGTTTCTGACTTTTTTTTTTAATGATCTGTTGGATAAAGTTTGGTATGTTTACCCTGCAAAACGTAAAAAAATTAAGTTATTGAGAATAATCAGTTCAGATTTTGTACTTTTCTTAATTTAGAAACCGATTATCTATTATAATCCCCGCAAGTTGCTAATGCATCTAACCGCCATTTTTGTGACGTAATTACGTTCAAAAATCAGTACCGTTAACAAATAAACACTGGTTTGAGGAATACAAATATCGAGTTGGATGGCGTTGTTTTTGTTGTTACTTGTTATGGTTGACTAAAATAGCAAGTGCTTTTAATTTTTATATTTTATTCTATCGATACTTATATTCTATATATATAAAAAGTTTTGATATTCATACTTGCGTCCTTTCAGCGTCTCGTTTCCTCTCGTTGAGTGCTTCAGCTAGGGCTTCTAACCTCGTCAAAGCTCGTTGTAGAGCAACACGATCTGAATGTCCAGGTGGCGTATGCTTCAATAGATCCTGTGAAACAAAATATTAATCTATATTAATATTATAAAGAGCAAATAACTGATTGGTAGTATGCTTGGAATAAGCTCCAAAACTACTGGATCATTTTTAAAAATTCTTTTACCTACGGGTAGCTACATTACACAGGGTTGACACAGGTTAGAATTTACAGATGCTAAGTCGCTGGAAAACCGCTAGGTTCATATAAATTCAACTTAATATGATAGAGGCGTATTTATTAAAACAGATCTATATACTAGTATTTAATAAATACTAGGCGACACCTATTTCAATTTAATACATTTAAACGAGCAATCCTAATATTGCATAGGTATATTCTGAATTTGGGATAATCGAGTGGTGGCGAGCTCGGTCATCCAAGTACTTTTATAAATAGGTGTTTCATCTATTATTTCTGTAAATAACACGATGCACGTGCGCATTACGCTCAGTTAATATTTTTTTCTATTTCACAGTTTTCGACTTTAATACTATGGAGTAAGACTCCATAAGCCTAAAACTAGAACACAGAGGAGATAGGTGACGTGTTGTGTTAAATTCGATGTCAAAAATCAATTCAATAAATATCTTAGATTCTTCTTAGATTTCTATTTAGTTAAAGCCTTGTAGGCATAATGGAAATCAGTCACAAGTGAGATATCTCACTTGTGACTCAATAACTTAAGACTTGAGAAAACTAATTTAGAATTTATGAAACCGGCATGCAAGTTACTTAATTAAAGTGATCATTTTTAGTAACTTCTGAGATCTCGGCAATTAATGTGATATTATCTGATATAGGGGAGGAAGAATCCGGGATCCTACAAGGAGAGCTCCGGAGCTAAAGCCAGCCAGGGACTAGGCTCCCAAACTGGTGTTGGTTGAGAAGCCGAAGGAAAGTTTTGAACCTTCTATAAAACCAAATTGAATTTACCTGTAAGAACATAATAAACTGCGGGAATCGCTGCACAGGTTTAACCATCAGACCGAAGAATGACAGCCGGTCGTGCGCGCTGATCTGTTTCACTTTGAAGAAGTCTGCTAAAGCCGATTTGCGTTTCGACTCCATTTTAGCAAGTTCCATGGCCACAGAGAAGTTGTTGATGAAATCCGAGTACACGTCCAGCACCACAGCCTTTGAGAACGCACTAAGGAAGACCTCGCCTGTAATCGTAATGTTTTAAGTTTAGTTCGCTGTACATTTTAATTTGACAAATGAATTGAACAATTGTAACCTACTGTAATTGATATGAGATATAGCTATGCAAAGAAGTATATATAACTAGCTTTCCGCCAGCGGCTTCGCCCGCGTGGCTTGTCACATAAAAACCTTCCTTTTGAATCACCCTATATATGAAAAAAAGGTCGCATCAAAATCCTTTGCGTAGTTTTAAAGATTTATGAATACATTGGGATATAGGGCAGAGAACGCGACTTCGTTTTATACTATGTAGATTAAAGAAAAATAAAAATAAGGTTGCGGTAACATTGGGTGACAAGCAAAATACAAATATTAGTGTTCGTTATATTTAACACATATATGTGCCGTCGTTCTAATTGTTATAATCATACGAGAAAACGATGCGATTTCGTCGTACTACGAGATAAGTATATACCTTAAATATCTCTTTGTGTCCTAATTGAAGCCCACAAGTAATCGCGCAAGCGTAAGTAATGCTTAATAATGATCGTACGATGGGTTTGATCATGCGATCGTATAATCAACGCTTACAATTTTCTTTTGTGTGTCCTTATTGGACATCAAAATAATTATTGCAAATTCAGCGTAATCATGCCTGAATATACATTATTGATATTCTGTGGTATAAGTTTTCTTTTTTTTTAAAAGTCTTCTCTTGGTTTATAAAGCATCGTACGACAAAATCGCATCTGGTCGCACGTTTGTTAATCAATTAGAACTCTTATTTGAATACCATGAACTAACAAAATCAGTATCCAGTCGAAAAGGTTTAGGAAGTTATTATAAACAGACCAATTTTTTCATCGCGGTCCCACGTGCGCGCACAGTCTGCTAGCGCGGTGCGGAAGTGCAGGTGGCATTGCAGGATGTCTGGCAGCCGATGGAACAACGTTTGGATCTTGCTCGCATTCAGTATAGCCGGACTGCTTTCTTCTAGAGGTTTCTTGTAGTCCTGTCGAAGAAATATTATGATTGTTTAATTTATTCAAAGAAACACCAAGCTATACTTAAAATTAATAGTATAAAAAATAATTTTATTTAACTTTTTTAAGCAATGATATGATCATTGTGTCATTTCTAAAAATAGGTTGTATCTTTAACCATATTTCGATATCGCCGTGGCCTTAACTTTGTTGTTTGTATAAGGCGAGGTGTATATTGACTGTCACTATACAAAATTTGCAAGTGTATTTGAGATGGTGGTGTAAAATCAAAGTGTTAAAATAAATTTGAAGAAATCGGGGTATTGGAGGTCTTTTCAGTGTCGAAATAAATGAGCAAATTTATTCTTATCGGTTACAATCGTTTTCTATTAAAATATTTATACACTTAAATTGTGTGATTGATTAATTGAAGGACACAAATAGTCTCACACAATTCAGATTAAACAATAAAAAATATATAAATATAGACCTAGTGCACCATTAATTACAAAACTATTTAAATTTGAATATGTGATATGAGCAGTATATAAATGGTACGAAAATCTATTGCCTATTTTACAAGTTACAGAATTATTTTATTTTATAAATATACAATTGAATTAAGTGGCATGTAGCATATTACATAAGTTTTTCTTATAACTGCCGATTCATAATGAGAAAATATCAATATATGTAAATAATTTATTGTAATTATTAATTCAAACTTAATCTATAGACTAGAATTATTGTATAAAAAAAGTGTTTAGTACCTTTGGATTATTATAAAAAATATATATATATAAATATGAATATGAAAATAGTTAAATATGAAAGAAAAGAACAATGATACTAATGGTGTCAAAATAACATACAAAACTATTATATTTATAATGTGTGTGTGTATGTGCGTGTGTGTGTGTGTGTGTGTGTGTGTGTGTGCGTGTGCGTGTGCGTGTGTGTGTGTGTGTGTGTGTGTGTGTGTGTGTGTGTACGTGTGTATTAACCGTTATGATATAGCAAGAAAACGTTAATTCGAATATTTATTTGCTGTGACACAATGAGCACGAGCTTCCAATTCAACATTACCAGTAAGTATCAACAATGACGACATGTTACTATGATTGAGTTTTTATATCATAATCATAAGAGTAATAACCTCATTCTAAATCGCGATAAACGTATGTTTTTCTAATACAAATTAGTAAGAATAACGATTGTCAAAGGAGCTTGAAATTATGTTTTATATGGTCAGACCTCAAGATGACATGGTTGAAGGGTTCATAATTGAAATTGCTGAATTAAGCGCAGTTAATAGGAAATTATTTAGTCCAGGTAATATGTTGCTACCTCAATAGGGATGACGACATACGAACCACTGGATTAAAGACACTCGTCAATTTAAACCCGTCGTCAAGAATGAGATTCTTGAGTTTTGTTATTTCAATCGTTTCCCCAATCATTATTGGTGTAGTGGTGTTCTGTCGAGATAATCTGTGGCTTATGGGGCTCGATTCAGATTTTTGTGTGTTACTATCCCTGAAATGTTCCTTCATACGGCATGTTTTTGTTCGTCTTTTTTGGTCAATATACGAACTACAGCTATTGCAGTCATTTATAGACACCAGATTTCTACAAAGGGATGTTATCTTTAAGAGAACATATGTATTGTGACAATTTTTGTAAAAGAGTGAAAACAGTATTTATTGAGTACTTATTTATTATGAATAATATGAATAAAACGTCAGATGCCGCCGCCGCGCGCCGGTCAAATAACTATCGTCGCACACATCTATTGGATTCGTCAAAAGTTAATATTTAAAAGTGTAGTATCTGGATGACTGAGCTTTACTCGGTACTTTATTTGTAAATGAATCCTAACTAAATCGATTTATCGCTTTTTTTTAAAGCCCCTTCATTAAATTATAAATTAGTATAATTTAATGAAGATACTTGGAGCCGTTTCCGAGATTCAGATCAGACTTTTTAACGCGCAATTCCTGTATTATAAGGAATTGCTCGTTTAAGCATTATATAACAAAATATATAAATGCATCAAACAATGTTAAATACACAATCTCGCGAGATTTCTAAAGTGACAAGATCTCGCGGTATTAATATTCATAAACACGCGAGATCTCGCCCGAGCCCCAATCTCGCGAGGTTGCATTCCCTAGTTACTACCAATCTTTTTATGTAAATATCCAGTCTAACTTTCGATTGCCTGGAAAATATTGCTCTCAAGCGATAAGGCCACCGATTCTAGTGTTAACACTTCTATAGCTAATTATTATGTTTTTTTCTCATGTAGAATAAAGTGTTCATTCATCCATTCAATATCATACAATAGGTTTTCTACGAAAGCAGTAGTTTGTTGCTATAAAGTGAATGGGCAATTAAATAATGCATTGTAACTCGACCGAAGTATTTATATGACAGGATCTAATAGGTACTATAAACTTTGTAGTTCCATTTCATATCAAAACTTTGTCGTATGTGATGTTTGCGTTTATATGGAAAGAAGGTAAGTTTGAACTATAAACATAAGAAAAAATTGAGCAAGAACATACTCTTTTTCAAAGAGCTTAGCTATTGATCTTCGTCACTAATAATACAGTGCGACTACAACCCATACACGAAAGTGAGAAATTCGCTAAGAATTTTACCGTTGCAGTTATTCGCTTCCATATTATACATAGGCAAACACCCTACAATTTGAGACAAAAAGCTCCGCTTATGCGTATGTAAGATATCGGGTGTGTGTGACAATCCTGCAATCATTTAAGGCATTTTCAGTTAAATTTATTCCACCGAGAGAATTTCACCAGTAGCATTAATTAATAAACCTTTGATAAGCACGTTATAAAACCATGAATAATATCGCAACCTACATAGGTATCATAACCGGCTCCCGTCAATAAACTCTCTGGATTTTTATCTTTATACTCTTCAAATATTAAAAGAGATAACGTTTAGTGAATCTTATCTCGTGTGCAACTGAATTGATCCTATTTTGTGACTATCTTCTACATGATTATGTAATTATTCATAATGCTACGTCCTCAAAGCAATTGTTATCGTTAGTACAAATCGCGGAACAACGCTGGTTAACTAGGTGAAGGCCTCAGTCACTAACTAGGTTCAAATGTTCACAATTCAATGACAAACATATAAATCGATCAGACGGAACAATACAAAAAGCAAAACTGGATTAGTTCGTATTAGTTCCATGGCGGAGCGACATTAATAATGTATCTTTCTCTATATCCTGCTTCCGATTCCAGAAATCAGAAATAGTAACTATTTTCACTCTATAATATAATATAATATTACTTATGAAAGGGAAAAAGACTGTTTTCATTTTTATGCCTCAACAATAAGGATCACAAGCATTACTTTTAATCGTACAGAGGAACTCACGTGCTCGAATTGCAAAAACTATTCATTTGTAATGGCCCACTTCCTAATATGCAAATGATGACACGTTAATTGTGGGCGAAACAATACAATGTGGGGCAGACAGGTTTATTTACATATGTTGAGATTTTTAAAGTCTCCACCTAAGCTTTGTGTTGTTACTACACGCTAGTAACAACACGAACATTTCTAATAATAATATGTAGAAAATCAAAGACGTATGTACCTTGAAAACGTTTTCAAATTTCAAGAAACAGCAGACATGACATCCTAACTGTCTCATTATCTTTGTGGTATTGTTTTCAAAAGTGAAAGAAAAGTTGTTCTGCGAAAAGAAATAATAGCCTGGAATCTAGACTAGACTGAAAGTGTAAGAATTGTTAAAACTATTGTAACACTGGTACATACGGCGCTACTAAGATTTAAACTATGTGAAACACTTAAGATACTTTCACTGATTTGTTATATGACGATGCATCTTAGTACACATTTAAATTAATCCGGAAGAAAGTGATCATTATGATAAATCGATATTTAACGATTCCGATACATAAATACTAACGTTATTCCTCAATTAATTCTCAAGATCAATTTGAAATGTTCACATTAATGTGTGAATGATTAGTTGCGTAAGAAACGGTAGCTTTAAATTTCAGACTTCACGATTCCGATTGTATAAACTCATTCATAAATCAACGCACATCTGTTCTGTCGTTTTTTGCTTTCAATTAAGTCTCCTATCACTTTAGGACTTTTTATTCAAGGAACAAGATATTAGAATAGTGGTGTAAAAGCACTCAATGGTTAACGAAATTAATGGACATAAACAATGAAGACCTCTTTGCGTCATACAAAACATTCTGTAAACGCTATTTTGTAATTGGTTATTGCTATTAAATTTCTTTCCCTATCACGAATTTCTACTATGCCGTGAGAAAATGTCAGAGTATGTTATTATAATGTTACGAGTTGAAGATCTGCGATGGCATGATAGCAATAGGAAGGGACCAGTTTGTTCAAACTCTTGTACTAATAAGTGGCGAGCAAAGTTGACAGTACTCATTTTGACCGAGCATTAAAAGCACAAAGTTAATATTTGAAGACGGGTCATAATCAACGATTATTTGCCCGCTTAATTTATTACTATAAAAACGACATGAAGTATGTATTTTTTTCATTTTAAATACTCATAGTTATATTTTATCAATAGATATTAATTAAAAAGAAAAAACAGCTCCTGCGCTCCCGTTTTAAAAGATATAAGAAATTAATTGCCATGTGGACATATACATTTACCCAAACTTTACCTAGGTTAGGAATTAGGAAATAAACAAAACTGAATTACTAAAAGCTGTACGATATTTTGTAGCAGTATATTCGGTAAGAATAAAAATGCACAGACCACTGTTCATAATGATGAGGTGTAAAAATGTTTGCATATTTTTTTAACCTCGATATTGTTTTTTTTTTTAAACGTCTACGGCTACTTCATAAAAAATATAGGGTCTTATATCAGTATTGTCAATCGTCGCTTATATAACAATACCGTGTTAATCGTAAATTGGTCATGGCATTTATAAATCTTATTGGACAGTTTTTTTTCTGACAACGTGTAAATTTCTGGCAAAGCTATATTAAAACATAATATTCCTATTTTAAACAATCATATCATAATTATAATGTGTATGATATAAATGTACAATTAGAGATGATTATACTGAAAACGCGTTTATTAGTGAGCTCGTTAAGAATTTGTATGAAGAATAGTAGTTCTCGATAGTTACCGCTAGGGGTAAACGTAAACATAAAAAAGAAATTACACTAAGAAATGTATAAAACACAAAGCGTGATGGGGTGGGTTTGATATAAGTGAGTTCATCCACTATTGGTGAAGGCTTAAAATAAGGACACTTTATTTTATAATACATATATCCAGAACGTTATTCCCGGACCCTAATGTAATGATGGCTACAAGAAATGATAATCGCGTACAAAAGAAGGTTGTGTCACATTTAATAACTTCCTGCACGGCCAGTATTTTGTGGTTATGCCGTTAACCTATACTTATATTATTTGATCGTATATCTGCATAGAATAGACATAGAAACTTCTGCACCAACTTTAAAAATTCTTCCACTTACGGTCTACCCTATGTAGTTTACATCATACCGGTGACATAGGCTATATTTTACGCGGGCGAAGTCGCGAGTAAACAACTAGTGGTAAAAATCGATTACCTTCTACATCTGTTTACACCTGAATTCATGTGAAGCTTCATGATTTCATTTATGATTGTATTTTTGAAAGTGATAAATTCAAAAGGAACCGAATTATTTCGATCTGCTTTCACTTTTCAAAAATCATGAAACGTCTCTAATTCAATGTATTTTGAAATTGAAATCAATAAGCTTACGTTCGATCGATTATAGAACTCGCTCTTACATAAATTTAAGTTGATGAAGTCACTACTTAAGTGTACATATTATGCATAGCATATTATGATAACAAGATGAATATTGTGAGAGTATATTGTAATGGCACGCAACCAGAACTAATATGGAAACAAGTTATTCATTATTATATAAGCTTGAGACAGGTTCTGGCATACTAAATAAGAAAGGAAAGAAAGTGTCGATTACTTTTTTCAATAAGCATGATCATTTTATTCATGCTGACGAAATAAATTTTACAAAAAAATCTATGAAACATTATTAATAATGCTGTTGTTTGCATATATATATTGCGATTTTAGCTTGCTATTAATAAACAATTAAAAATACCAGTGTTTCGTTTCGTTAAAAATACCAGTTTTCAAGAAGTATATAATATATCGAACACTAGAACAATATTAAAAGCGCAATTAAAGGGATCCAGCAATTTTTAGAGCAGATTTAATAATTCTATAGGTTACAGGTTAATTCAGTGTTCTTTACACAACTCAAAGGATATTTATAACAAATATTGAATCTATCGATTGGTGGTATGCGCAATATTGTTGCAATTGTGTTCAGTCACAAAAATCCTGCGGAATGTGTGTTAGTGGTATTTAAAGCTCTTGTCTGATGTGGCTCTTTGTGGTTCTCGTAAAATGAGTCGATCGATTCAAGTATTTGGGTCATTGGTTATCTTGAGAATCTGACTGATAACACAGATATTGCGTGCGTTCGCTCTCGTGAACGCCAGGACTTGCCGGCGGCGAACGACGCGACCAATACGTACACTTTTTAATTAATTGAAAAGGAGATAAGTTTAACCAGCCATCTTCGGACGGGTCAATGTAGAAAATGAACTTTTCTATATTGTCGCGGGTCTGGGTGTATAATATACTCCATAATACGGGGACTCCTTATCCGTTCCGAATCCTAGAATCTGGGCAATTTACGTGATATTTTTTATTTTAGTTAACAACTGACATAAGTTTAATTGGTACTAACACCATATAACGCAGGGATAAATCTTAAATAATAAGAAAAAATATTATAAGAAGAGATATTTGTTTGTTGCTATGAGCATGGAGGAGAAATCATGGTATTATACAAATACATCGTGTGTTCATAAGTTTTGAGACGAAATAAAAGTTGTGGAACTTTTTTAATAATTAACTTATATTTCTAAAATTTTCAGGAACCATTAATTAGACAATAATCAACAATAAAATATATATTTTATTCAAAATGACCGGCCCTTAGACGATTTAGCCAGTCATCAATGGCGGCACGAATCTTTTCTAGAGGAATTCGCTTTGCTTATCGAACAAGGGTTCGCTTCAGTGACTCCATGTTTGGGTAGGACTTTCGGCAGGCCCTGAGCTCTAATCAAGTTCATAAAGAATAATCCAGTGGGTTAAGGTCGGGGCTGCAGGAGGGCCATTCGTCCGCCGCGATATTCTCCCTCAACCAAGCTTGGGTGCTTTTTGCCTTAAGGGATAGGGCAAAACCTAATCCTTATTGTGAAATAACGTATCAGACAGGGGTTTCACCACGGGCTCTAAAATGTCACACTAGCTGAATGATGCGTGCGCAAGACATTCCGTGCAGAAATTGGGACGTCCTTGCTACTTTTAGTGTACACTTTATTGTTTTGTCGGTTAAATTTTTCTTTGACAGTAAAAAAAATTCTCGTAGGTGAACAGTATCTTCCTGACATCATGTGTTCTTCAGCACTTTTCTACGGCTATGGCAGAATATGAAATCGCGCGAAATATTAGTCTGCAGAGCGAATTTCATCAGAGTGCGACATGGATTTCGGCGGAGACGCTCTCGGATGATTTTGATGTTCGCAGGTCTCCTCACAGAGTGTGGCCGATCTCCAATGGTGATCTTGCAGAGAACTTGTCCCTTTGTACCGCTGTATTGTGTACAAGGCGAAGTTACGGCTTACACGAAAACTTTTCAGCTCGCGGAAAATCTGCATCGGTTTTTCCCCGCCTTAAATAGCGAAATGACAGTTGCACGTAATTGTTTCGTTCCTTCCATCACGAGAAAATATAAACGAATGAATTTGCGTCACAAATTTACTAAAAGTTAACATTTCACACTCAAAATCGGTAAAAAGATGAAAAACAGCCAGTAACATTTCATTTTATTTTTTCATTAAAAAATTTATCTCAAAACTTATTAACAAACGAGGTAATTAACTAAAAAATGTTTTTTTATTACATTCCAAATATTTCCTTTTCTCTTCAACACAGCGCCTGTGATTCGATAAAACAGTTCGTCGTCGCCGATCATGTCAGATGATTGCCTGTGCCTACTAAAACGTACTATTTGGTGCCGACATTGACACTGAGAGCACTGATACGTCTGACACTGAGGTGTGTAGATATGTTCATAAAGAATGTATGAAATAAGAATTATCACTGATGCGGATGGAACTGTGTCGGTGCCGGCACGGATACGTCACTAATAGTTGCACTGTGTCACGTCAATAAATGCTAAAGGGATTTTACTATTATTTTTTAGAATAATATTTATATTTGTATTACTCATTGAATAGAACTAAATTACTTAAGGATAATATAATTGAAAAGACTCGATTGTTACATTTCGTGTTTCCAATGACGTTCATTAATTGCGGTAATCATAGCAATTATATTATTCACTTATCAAATTAACATTATGAATTATAAAGCAAATTAGTCATCGGCCAATTGTCGACCTTCGACTATAAAGTTTGAGAATTGTAACGGTTTTATTATACTTCTTGTTATTATACTACTTGTATAAGATTGTTAGCTAAGACCTCAAACGGTTATTAGTTGAATGCTTTTTATGGTACCTACACACTAGGTAATGTTATGCTAATTTTCCACAGAGTCTTCATATTAACGTTGTGTTATATTTGATCAAAATGCTTAAAAAATTCATTTTGTCCTTGGCATTCCGAGATGGGAATCGGACCCATGACCTTTTTGCAATCCGGGCGACTGCTCTAATCATCGAGCTACCCAGGACCTAACAGGGCTGACGTTAAACCTTTAAGTGTTCTAAATTCCTCCCTCCTCGTAAACTAACTATCCATACAAAAGGCCGGTGAGGATTTCAAAGTTTTTGTTTCACGTATTAATTAAAGGAATAATAAAATAACTAATCAATATTGTAAAACTTAAACGATTCTCAACTGTTATTTTCTTCTTTAATTTTCGAATTTAATTAAAACGAATTCAAATTATATTATACAGTGTTACAAGCACTTATTAAAGTCAAAACTCTATGTCATCGGTTTGCAAAGCGGGTGAACTTGTTTTTAGAATAACCGGTAAGAAATTCAGCAATGGCTGCAGTTTCTTCTGCCTCTGCCTTTCCCGCTATGGGTTGTATGGGCATTCAGATGCATAACTATAAACTTACGTTTACTAGCCGTTGTAGAGTGGCCACGTAAGAGTTCTCGCTGTGTATGATGGCCGCCACCACGTGCCGACGGCGTAGCTGTACCGGCGTGAGGCAATCAGGCGGCGGCCCTAGTGAGGGCGGCGGTACGCGACCACCGCGCACTTCGCCACCGCACGAGAACAACTCCTCCTCGAGCTGAAACACATTTCAACGTTATATATTGGCACCTATGATGTACTTGTGAACACGATATTTTTATGAATGTTAACAAACAATCTGCGCTTTATTATAACACGAGGACTAACTTAAGTTTCAACTTGACGTTTTCTCTTCTGTCATCATCAAAGCAAGTACTATGTTTAGTTCACGTTTTATCATACGACATTTAAAGTTTATTGTTACGTTACAAAACTAGTTAAGGCAAACTTTAAAAATTATGTGCTGATAGTGAAATTAGTATATAAACCTGTTAATTTCCATATAATAAATTATGAATTGCACGAAATGACAGCAACCGACAATTTTTGTATATTTTGAAGACGTTTCGGTTTAATTTTAATCAAGGGTGTTTAGCATTTCCTGTTAATTCAAGGCAATAAAAATATGTTTATAAGTGAGACATTGCTACACGTATAAACAAAATCTATCGTCGAGTACTCATAATAATAATTTTCTTATTCATGAAATCGATACAACGATAAAGATATCTTAATCTTTGATTTTCAAGAATATATTAAATGATTTCTTTGCCTCTTGAACTTACTTATTTCTAACCATATTCGTATTCACGCTGTATGCCTCTCAGCACTCAAGTAACGTATTTGTAAAGCACCCACCTTGTATGTGATTCAATTATGTACCGCTGTTGTATTTAAATTGATAAGGAACCGGCGTCCATTTGTCTGTTGTATGCCATTGCCTTAGGCGTAAAGTGCGTTGTTTGCTCAATAAATTTGTTGATATTTCATGATTACACAAATACAATTTGAATGGTAATGTGATTCGCGACGGAGACACAACGCTCGAGTCTTACGTCATTTCAATGTCGTATTTAAATATGTTTAAATACAAAATGAGGTAATGGTTATATACATTGGAATAAAGTAGTAACATAGATATTACAAAATGCTACTAATTACAGTAAAAACAAAACCACAAGGTTAAGTATCAATTACTTCGTTAACACCGCAATGTGGATAAGCAAACACAATACCGGTTAATGATTGAAAGGATATAATAACCGTTTGCATGTTATACTGAATCGGTTTATTTTGGTAAACAAACATATAATGTTAGTGCAAAAGAGAAGCTTTCGTGTTGCTAGATGTACAGATTCTCTAAACGTGTGTTGCGTCAACGGAAACCTCGTATAACTCTTACGTATAAATAGGTTAACGTGATCCGAGCACACGTCACATGGCAAATGTATGAACGAGAACACGCGCTCCACAAAATCACCAAAACACAAACCACCCAATGTCACACACAATTTCTATACCAACGACTTACGTCACACTTGAACAACTCATAGTGAGCTCTGTCGGGAAACAATCTCGTGCAGAACATCTCAAAATTATATATACTTTGAAATTAACATTTGACATTAACGTAACACACGTTGTACTCGTACTCTGACTAAATATACACTGAGATGTGTAAAAAAATATATTACAATCGTATGCATGAATCCGCGATGGTAGATCACTGGATACCAATCTGACATCATTATAATCACATGTCTTAGCAACTTGATGTATAATAGGTATTTGTTTAACGACTCGAGACCTCCGTCCGGCGTGTATTAAAGAAAACGTGCGACGCGTTACTGCGGTTTGTTGTTGACTGACTACTCAATGGCTACATAATGATTCATCTAAAATATAAATGTGAATCACTATAATATGAACAGTACTTATTAAATATTACAGCGGGATAGAGGCCAATGAAAAGAGTCGTTTAATTCCAGAAATTGTGTGCACTGCGAGTCATTGACCAATTGTTTACGATCACAACATCCGTTCCATTGATGTATATGGTTATTATAATATCCCAATAGTCCCAATAGGAGACATTATGACACCCATCAATATAATAATATAGTTTTTTCCAGATTTATATCACTAAACTTATTGGTTCTTATTTATTTACACTACATAATAGATACAAATAACGGAGATAAATCGATTAACACAGAAGACAACTTTGATGATAAAATTATATTTCTTTCGCACAAAGACGAATTAGGATATACAATTAATAAATAATCTCTTGGTAAAATAAATAGTTAAACTTTTATAGAAACTTGTCCAAGATACTGGTACATGTAAGTAACACAATTATGTTAATGAAGTCATACATCTTGCTATGCAATAGGGAATCTTCCAATGAATATTAGATACGTCTTTGTTGCGTGAGAAACGTCTGAACTTAGAAAAAACTTCACAATATATGCAATTATTTGCTTATTCATACTAATGTCTTGCGTCTTAGAGTGATTAGTTCATATCAGAAAATTGTATAAGGGAATGAAAAATGTGATAATATGCACTTAAAATGTATGGTGTAAAAATTATTTTAAAATACGCATTATTGAGTACTGGGAGGATATCCAAAAATATGTGTCACACTTAGATATTTTGAATCTTAAAAACCGAAGAACCAAAACAAACGAAACGGTTTAGCATGCTTTTATTTATTTAGTCTATATAAAAATTTATTACATTAATGTTAATTATGTCCATGTTAAGCGGTCTTCGTACAAAAATTAGCAATACTCAATAGTACCCTCTTGTTCATTGCACATAACTTGAAGGCACAAATTACTCGCAACTTTGTTCGCGTCGCCAAAGGAACATATTTTTCGTGGCAAAAAGTAACTCATAGCCTCCCAACTACCTCCACACAAAATCATATCACAGCGACGTCCCGTTGGAAACTGACAGAAGAACAAACAAACACTTTCCCATGTATAATACTAGAAAGGATATTGCTTTATGTTGTGCCCTCACCCGTTGAAAACCCGGTACATCTCTCACCTCTGGTAACTTGGGCATTTTGTCCGACTCCTGGGTGTGCATGTCGTAATGATGTGCAGAGCCCCGCCGTACGCTGAACCAGCGAGCCAGACGTCCCCCGCCCTCGTCGTCCGGCGGCGGCGCCGGTGGAGTCGGCGTCGCGCCACCGCTGCGCCAGCGTTCGCATAGCTCACGGGCGCGACTTAGGGTGTTGCGGAGCTGACCCGTACTCCTGTTGGAAGAAAATCGTTAAAAAAATGTTCACAAAAAGATTACAAAGATATCTTAAAATTGGACAGAGGATACTCAATTCAAGTTGTATTAAAATTTTTGTTTTAGTTAAAATGGACAATTAAGTTTGTACCGAGAAGATGATACGCATGAGCGAGTTTACTTACAATTAAGCAAAACCTATTTTGGCGTGTTTTATCCCGGAAAATATATCATCGTCTTCCAACATCTGTCTCGTTGACAGGCAAAATACGTAGGAGTAAAATTGAGTCGCGAACTGTCGAGTCCCAGATCATAGATAATTTTTAAGTAGCGTCCTGGATTTTTATGATGCTTCGATAAGGTTACATATTAATTTTTTTGGTTGTTAAAACTAAACTGTAGTATTACTGCGTCCTGTTTAAAAAACTTAATTGTCTTGTCTTTACCATCTTTAAACCATTGTTTTTTAAAGTTGATGTTGGCAACTAAGGTAGGTAAGTAGGGTAATAATAAGTGTTAAAATTTCAGCGATAAATGCAATGTTAAATAAATAAAATACTATGACAATAATACTGTCTTCAAATGCAACCAGTTGAGGAAGCTCTATTTTATGTGCCCTCATATATTAACCTTTATTCGGTTGACCTGATAAACGTTACGTAAGTAATTCGTAATAATAAAGATAGGTTAGGTTATTTAATAGATCAGTTTGTATCAATTGCCGAGAGACCGATAGGATGTTGGCAATTAAGCTGAACGCGGAAGAAGCTCAATTAAATAGAGAAAACGTGATAATTGGTGAAACTTTAAACTGGAGCTATTAGATAACTATTTATTTATCAGTTTTAGTTGTTATTCAACTAACAAATTATTGTTTCGCATAGAGCCATTGAAAATTTATAGTCGCGGTGTGCAATTATTGCACTAAAATGTTAAAATGCCGTGCAAAAGTACCATTTGATTAGGTATCTTTGACCGTGCAAAGGTTCAATCGTGTGTGCTAAAGAACTAAATCGACCATGCTTTACCCACGATTAATAACAAAACAATGGGCAATTATATAACGAATGGCAAATAAAGGTCGCGATCGCTAATTTAATGTGGTACAATATTTTTAATAGACGGGGTCGAAGTCAAGAAATAAAAGATAATTACTTCTATCCACGGGAGGCCTGAGGGGTATGAATCCCAAAAGCGGTAGATTGCTCAATTGCGCATCTCCTTTATCTTTAAGCGGGGGAAATGCTTCTTCTGCCACAAGTCGGTGCTATCTCACTAGGACTTGCTCCAAGGGGAGTGGTCAGGTGCGGTATACCTCACGCGGATGGATGGATCCAGTATCATATGCCCCTTGGTTCTTTGGTTCTCAAATCTCGAAGGAACTACTATGTCAAAATGAATTCCTTAGCGATGTGTAATATAACCTCAGCTAATTAGTTGTTTGATAATATCTTTTAAAATATACAATGAATTGTAACACATTGAGCTTCAGATAGATTCTTGAGTTTAGTTGCGAATCTGGTTATGTATCTATATTTTTTCACTTGGTAACAGAAGAGGATGCTAATGGGACTCGTAAGTCAGCCTATCCGTGCGATTGTCTGTCTATCTGTAGAAATTGAGTTATTATGTTTGCCATTACAACAAATTATGGTCCATATGCAGTGCATTGTAAAATTGATGTGTTCTCCAAACGTTTTTAGTTCCTTTACAAAAACGTTTGGAAAAATAAATAAATAAATATTACGTGGTGCCAAAGAGGTTTTGGTATGTCCGTGTATTAGTTTCGTTATAGTTCCAGCTAATATCGCAATGCATTTGAATGAATTGCCTCGTCCAATTTGTCTTTGTTTCTGTCTCATATAATATTTCTAATATTATACCAATATCTCTATTCTCTATGAAGCAAAGTATGTACGTATATATAAAGTATGCAGACAAATGTACATACATATTATTTGCAAATATTTACGCATTCGCGGCTGTGGATTTATTGCATTAATGTATGCGTAGTAGCCAGTACGGCAGGCGGCGAGCAAAGACAATTCAATCTTATAAGGTAATGCGATAATGATAAAATATCTTTTGTGGTTGGCACACAATGCGAAACAATCTGTGTAATGAAACGTTGTTATTGTTGAGTTTATAGACATAACACGGAGGTAGGGTTATCAGCTTATTTTTTTTTTATTTTATACTTTCTTTCTCCTTTTTGAGAAGTTTGGTAAACGGTTTTTGGTCGCCTGTTAGGTGACGATTTTACATACGCGAAATTCTCTTTTTATTTTATTTTTTTTTGTTTTCGCAGAGATAACTTTAAGTCTGTATGTTTTAGTTGTAAAAATAATTTAAAACGCATCAGGGACTTTTCGTAGTGTGAACGTCAACAGTTTTAAAATTTAGTAGTACTGTATGCATTTATTTCTTTAGACTATAATTATGATATTTTAGGAGATTTATTCGGCCTGTTCATATAAACCTTATAAAATATCTAATGGGCACTAGCACTCTTTTATTCGTGTGCAATAAATATCCTGAGTTTTATAAAATAAAAATATTCAATTTTCCAAAGATAGAAGCCTTGTAAAAAGCGATTTGAGAAATTGCGTATGTTGCAATGTTGCCGGAAAATATTCGCATGTCCATTTTTTAATAGGTCCTTGGAACTTAATGTATACTAATATTATAAGAGGTAAAGGTTTCTAACTTTATTTCTTTGTAGGGGGTACCTAATCTTCTGAAATACTGGTTCGATCATGATTATTCGAGAACTAATGATACGAGAGTGATATTCCCAAGTAGCACATAAATAATATATTAACTAAAATAAGTACCGATTTATGTCCTAAAGTCATACTAACATTTTTAATCAGCTCTGGTCAAGTTCCGAATCTGTTTAAAGGCATTTATTTTATCTAATAATACTTAATGCCATATTATGGTTAATAAAAAAAGTATACCAATGTCAAAACTCCTATTTAAGTATTGGGTAATATCAATATAAAGCTGTTATCGTATTTCGGTGATATGAAAAACATTATATATTATATAAGTATTAACGTAATACTATTTAGTGCACTTAGTTGTATTTAGTAATTTTCTAGAAACAAAGGTTTTCTAATGGTCTATGGTTGTATCGATTTAATGCTTATCCTATATACACATTGAATAAAGAACTAGTAAAACTTTAGCACCGATTTGTTCTTAAAGTATTCTTTAATCGAGCTCAAGCTCCTTTATCTTCTTAATCTATTCTTTTATAAAACATTAAGCTATATTTTGATCAATATTAAGTTATTTATAGAGATAGAAGTAATAAATAGATCGTAATTATTTTTTATGTGAAATTAAAATGTAAAATTATTTTATGTATTGTATTGTAATGGTGGCATTTTATACGCATCGCTGGCGCCATGGACAAAAAACGTTGGGAAAAACAAAGAAAACAGGTGGATATAAATGAAAACTGTAAAAAGAATATTCTAATTTAATTGAAGCTTTTAAAAATCAAAATAAAAATGAAATAATCGTTTGATGATTATAAGCACTATAAGATACTTCTGAAGTGTAAAAATACGGCTGTTACTAAAATGGGAGTGTGTTATACGGTGAATTACGAGCTCTTAGTTTTGTGTCTAACCATAATACGATTAACAGCTCTACTACACCATATTTGGATACCTAATGCTTTAATTTTACGAGTCGCCATTTGCTTTCTTTTTCCAATTCTTACAAAATATTTAAAGTCAACTGTGTCAGATGAAAAGGGGTAAATAATCATTTATTTTGTGCATAGATGCCTATAAAAGCAATTATGTTGTTAAAACAATGCTAAAAAGCCTAAAATTCAACAAAAATTTTTGCTACTAGGTTAATTTTTTTATTATTTTTATTATATTAAAGGAAGTTTGCGAAGGCGCGTGTATTTTACACTATAAACTTGTATATTTTACTCCACAAACTGATGTGTGCAGCTTATTTCACACAAAACGAGCTGTTTAAATCAATATTCAAAAATAATTAAAAGACCAGCCAAGAGAACATGTCATGACACTTACACAAAACAATAATTTAAACCGATTATATGTTTTTAAAATCTATTAAATATACTTTTTTACAAAGGAAATAAAACAGTAAGCATTTTTATAATATTAAATTAACGTATTATAATTTTGATTTACGCATATCAATTGTAATATAGTCACAAAAAGTTCAATTAGCACTTTAAGGTGCTAATTGAACTTTTTGTGGCTATTAGAATGCTTTTACCCGACTTTATTAATGCTATTATACCAAAGTTGTAGTGCTATTGCACAGCTTTTATAAAGCTTAAAGTCGTACAAAGGGGGGGCCCAAATTTTATGTATAAGAGTCGTTTAAAAGAAATACGGTTGATATACGATTTTATTATAATGCTTAACGCTTGGACTCGTGCTATTATAAGTTTGATATAATGGTGTTTTGTGCTACTTGGGTTGGCTATACATATATTACGCGGCGAAGAATTAGTATGCCTACTATAAATTTCTACGCTACCACAAAATTGTGACGGTGCAACGCGTAGTCTGTCTTACGGTTGTTAACCAACTTTCGTAAGGGTCGGTCATTAAATGTATGGCTAAAAATTTCGGAGGGCACGCCGTGATTAAGCCGTTGATTGCGGCTACACCTGCCGTCGTCAATACCCACCAATTTTGTCATTTATAGAAAGCGATATTATTCGTTATTTTTTTTTCATAATAATAAGTCTTTGTTAGTAAATTACAAATTCCAAGATTACGAAAGTCCATTCATAATTCATTTCTATTTTATTTAAACACATAGATATGAAGATATTGGGAGTTACAAGATAATTATACAATACAGAGCTTGTTTCGGTTATCAACTAATATTAATGCTTCACTGTCGCGAAGTAATATCATCAGGTGGTTTACCTCGCGTTATTAAGTTTTTTTCACGAAATAAATCGAGTTTATCGACTTTGCGGTTCCTTTTAAAAAACTTTGGGACCTGTTTCAA